CCAAAGAACTGTTCACAACCCTCGTTATCGAAGAGAGCATCCCTCATGGCTGGGGGGCGTGGGGGCTCGTAGCAGAAGTGGTAAGAACAGGTAACGTTGTCACTGCAAAACAGTTTCCGCTCAACCTGTGCTAACCCCTCCAAAGAGAGCATGTATCCAGGTACGGTTGTGAAGAGAAAGTACCAGACGTACATGAACATCTTGGAGTTGTTGCTGAAGTTGGGGTGATCGCTGTATTTATCAAGGTATTTCTGCCAACCTTGGTTTATGGAATGTTGGGTGAAATACACCTCACCTGCGAGTATCAGGACCCATAGTGTCAGGTACAGGAACGAGAACAGTGTTATTAGCCTTCTGTTGAATCTTTGGAAGGGGTTAACAATTGCGACTGTTCTCAGCACTGCTAGAATGACATTCACAAAAACAGACATTTTCACCGCCACGTTGCACCATACGTAGTTAATTGTTACCAGATGTTTGAAATGAGGATCAACAAAGCCTGGATCCTCCGGAGGGAAGTCAACATGTTGGTAGGCAATCAGAGAGACTATGTTAAAGATTCCACCGATCCCTGTTGCCATGTCCCCCAATGCCACGAGAATGAATAGAAATGGTATTGTTTCAGAAAACTTCTCCCTGTAAAAGTTTAACACGAATGAGTTGAGAAAGATGACGAAGAAGACGCAAGTGGTCAATAGAGCTATGAGTGTGTAGGTGATGTATTTGTCGTCTTGCTGGAAGGTTCTGAAACCTATCCCAGAGACGAACCTCAGGAACTCCAGATGCAGGTCCACCTCTTCTGTTCCGTTAACCATCACACAATCTTCATCTTTTAAAAAATAGCATTAATAATATCTGTTAATTCACATCTTGAATTCCTAAATTGAACTGAATATATCAATGCATAATACATAATATTATTATCCAGAAAAGATGACTCTGATAACAAGTTGGCATTGGGTTGATCTACGAAACAAAAATTATAAAAATAATGGATTGGTTGGGGTTTCTGGAGACATATTATAATTGATACTACTGAACTGTGATTACTTAGATTTCAGTAGTATATCTTCCAGTTTTATCGCTGTTGGTCCAGCAGCCAGCTGCTAGCAGGAACTTATCAGTTATTTTGTCACAACTTAGAGGTTTAGAGCTCGTGCCAATTTATCTCACTCGTTTTAGCCGTTATACATCTAGGCTCACAGGGCTGTCTAACTATGAGTAAATGACATGAAAAAGTAAACAACATTTTTGTTCCTTGGGAGAGATTGTGAAACTGGTAGTGAGGATAGGTGACAACATTTGATGGGTATGATAACACGATGCAAAGCATATGACACGAGGGGCTATTTAACATAACTGTAAAAATGAAGGCCTTACCATCTGCAGTGGGAGACTTTGGGTAAGATGATGACGAAAAGATCGTGCCTAGAGTACAAATGGACTCAAATGAACAAGTATCAAAAGCTCTAGCTAATGCCAACAAGATAAAATGGCTCAGATCTGTTGCAAAGGACATAATGACATTTTCTAAACGGATCAAGTTATATAACCTAAGGTTAACAACTTGGACAACTCTGACAAGGTTATAATTTAACCTTGTCAGAGTTGTCAAAGTTGTCTGAGCTGTCGGAGTTGTCTGAGTCAACCAGTCATCCTCGACATTGAACCAATAACAACGCTTCTACTTTATTGCCATAGGTCGGCATATAGTAGAGACGTTGCCATGCTGCGTTGATGGTTGAAAATAAAAAATATTATTGTGATGCGTAGAGTGTTTTAAATAATATCTTATTTCTTCCCCGACTATCAAATTATAATATCTTATTCTATTATTATAACATCATTATTATCATTAGAAACAGCTAATTATACGGCCTCTAGAGAGGGTGAACAAAAATATTTGCTAAAGCGATTCAAAAGCATTTCCTTTCATCAAAATATATTAAACCCGAGATTAGCTCGATGTATGATTTAATATCGTTACTTATTGCACAACCTGTCTGAGAGTATGGGGGAACTGCAATCGATCTGTGAATTCTCGTAAGGTGGCCTTTTTATAGTCTAGAATGAACTTATTTCTAAGAAACGTTTTTCAAAGAAATTTAAGAATACGTTGCCTATCGGATAAAGTAAAAGCTTTTAAGAGCTTTTCGGTCTCGATTCTCTTGATTAACACCGTCAGAGTTGATTAACAGTACCACCGTCACACCGAGCAAGATACAGTTTGTGCCACCACGTCCACAAGCTGATATCCCACAAGCTGATATCCCACTTAGTTATAACCCACCGTTTAATAGCAATTTATATGATCGCAGAAAATATCTCGAATACAATCTGACGGCAAATCACTCTTGCCAAGGATTCGTCTACTGTAAATAAATTCTAACATTTATTACACGCTTCGACATTTAAGTCATTCAAGCGAGACTTGGCGTGGAATTAGCAAGATTATGCACTTCTTTATCAGTTTATTTATGGACAAATATTAGTATAAAATTATCAAAATTATGCACTTTTATATCAGTTCAGACATTGTGGGCAAATATTAGGAATATTACCAAACGCTACTAGGTGGAAATAAAATGTCTTTAGAGCATTTTCAAAATATTCTACAGATGACAATGCTTCCACTGAGTAGGGTCTATTCCTATTGTCTATTCTTCTCACAACTTAACTATTCTACCAGCGGCAATTAAATGGCAAATCACTAGGCAAAATTCTTGCTAAGGAGTAAGGAACCATGGGTGCAATATTTGCATAACGAATAAACATTTTTGTCGGATATTGTTTAAGGATTAAATTACCCAATTTCTTGTCTCGTGAATTTAAAGATTGTGCAATAATGTCCCTTATGCGCTAATGGATATTTTTAAAGGATTGAGTCACCCAATTTCTTGTCTCGTGCATTTATAGATCGTGAAGTAATAAACTGTAAATGCCAGAGCTCGAAAACTATGGTTAAGTTTGTAGAATGTCTCTTTATAGTGAGTATAATCTACCAAAGTAATTTATGTAGTATCAGGACCGGAACATTATATATTAGACACATTGTTGTAATGATTCTGGGGAAAAATTGATGTTCCCGTTAATTGCGACAAGAAAAAGGCTTTTATCCTTATCCTGACAACAGCCTTTTCCTTTCCGCAATAAACGCGAACACTACAAATTTTGCCCAGAATCAAAGTAAGTTATGCAACATCCCGCAAATTGTTAATGCAATTATCGGGAGGTGATAAAAAGTAAATTTTAATTCAATTGATAAGCTGTGCAGTGAAAATGTAGCCGATAACTCAACTATAAACATGTTCCAATTTCCAACTCAAAACTATCTAACTATGTTTGGCAAATTTACAACAAATCTGAAATCTTACAACATTAAACAATTTTAAAATACTATTGTTTCAAATGAGATAATAAAATAACGCAATTTCGTATCAGAAGCATCTTCAAATATCTTTATTTAAGTTTTAACGGCAGACTTTATTCACGCTCACTATGAAGTTAGCGTTTTATTTGAGCACCGACATAGTAATAATTCTGCCGCTTTCTGATAAATGTGCTTAACAGCCATTTATGAAATTCTTTAATTCAAATCTCTTTTGGGGCCAAGAATTATCCCTGAAAACCATTAGGAACCATTAGAACCAATCGCCGGCCCCTAGATAGAAACCTCCTAAAGTGCTTAAAACCTCTGTTTTTCAGTGGTCTTTAACACTTTGACACTTATTGGTGTTTAACACTTTAAAAGCACTTTCGTCAGAAATTGAGAAATTGACAGAATTACTCGCGAAACTCAGTAACGTGACCGGTTTGCTGGGACTAAGATTTCTGAAAAAAATTATAATGAGGCCATTAATGATAAAACAACAATAAGGAATTATTACTATGTATTATACACTTTAAGCAGCTTCACTTTCACTGAATGAAAGTAATACATTTGGTGGCAATTTTGAAACACGGGGTTTCAAATGAAGTAATAAAAGAACGCAATTTCTTATCTGTAGCATCTCCAAATATCTTAACCTAAGCTCTAAGGACAGACTTATTTACGCTCCCATTGGAGTTGACGTTTTAACTTTTATTTGAGCACCGGCCATCACCAGGACAACTAAAAAACATTTAACCAATAAATGCTCGTGAAACTAAGCGGAGGGCACTAAGTGTCCGACACATGACAAACTTACTGGGACTAACGTTTCTCAGAAAGTAATTATATAAAAAAATTAATGATTTAACAACAATGATTAATTATAAGCTTGTAAGTGAATGGGGATGAGAATTATGAACAAAACAGTTTCACTGAATGAATAGCAGTAAGGTCATACACTTGGTGGAAAGTCTGGGTTATAAGTAATTACATTGAAAAAAGATAATAATTATTATATAATTGGACAGGAAAGACACCGGGTGCCTCGCCAAGATCTGGACTCATCGTTACACGTGGACCCAGAATAATATTACGAGAATTGATTACTTTGGGCCGAAGATTTTTAGTTTGCCACTGACGAAAGAACTGCTATCTTAAAGTCTTAAGTTGGGACGCCTGCTCGCATTTCATGGGGTTCCAAGTTCGATTCTCCGCTGAGCCACCAGCGGTGGGTTGAAGGTCGTTAACACTCAGCTCAGGAATCCTGAGTGGTCTATGTAGCCACCCGTGGCCGTCCATTCAGCTGTCTGCTGAATGCTCGAAACTTCGAAAAATAGGGTGTGAGGGTTAAATGAGGGGCTGCACATTGCAGCGAAGTCTCGGGCGAAGAAATTATGGTACAAACTACCTTTAACTGTCACTGGCCTTGAATGTATAATTGAATCCTTCGGCTTCCTGTAATTGGCTGGTAACTCCTGCGTAACAAATTATGGCTGTTGGAATGTCCGAAGTAAAATAAGTGTTAAGTTTTTAAAATCAGTAATCGTGGCTATAACACAAAATGAAAGAGTCATACTCGTTTAATAATTTAATAATTAATCTGATTATTTAATAATCGAATTTTTTTCAGGTCAGGTACGCTAGTCTGGACAAGCTGTTGGAAAGATTAATGGACGCCAGATTTCTCGGTGTAGAATACTTGGTTGGTACTATTTCTGAATTCTTGAATGTTTTTTGTTTCTTGGTAACTAAAACAGCTCCCATTTTTTGTCATTTCCTTTATAATGGAGAATAGAGATGTGGCTTCATTTTATTTACTTATGATGATGATCTGAAGTTTGGACACGAGTATAATAGTGAAACTATGGAAATTTCAAGTATTACATATTTGCCCCTCCAAGCCGAGTAACATGCACCTTCAGTCTTCACTAGTCATTTAAAAAATGTTCACAAATTTAATACCCTGACTAATCGGGATAACTTTCAGAAAAAGGTTCCTAACCGATTATTAATTATATAACTCCACTTTCGACCTATTTGACGGCCACTTATTGTTTTCATAATTGCACCGGTTTTTTTCCAGGGGGTGCGATTACAAAACTAATCGCACTGTTTTGAGAGCAACCGAAAACATATTCGGTGTGATTAATTAGTTAATTACTTTCAGAATACGTTCCTGCTGACTTATCGCTGTTTTACTGACGGTCACACTGTTCTTGGGTATATCATCAACACTTACTACGATGCCTTGGCTAAGGTAATAGTAATTTACATGTAACCATGGTAACTTGGCTAATGGCTAGGTAGCAGTCATATTACACGTTACCATGGTAACCATGGTAACTTGGTTAAACTTTAAAGTAACAGTTATGTATTATGAGACAAGAGAAATGCCATCGTGGGACACGAGGAGAGTTAGGACTCCTCGGACTACATTAAATCAATTCCTTCTGTAACGTCCTCAATACATGTAATATATTTGTAGTGTTGTAATTGATTACATTTCAACCCAAGTAAAATTCAACCCAAAGGGAAAATTCTCTAAAAGTTCAGATTGCATAAAAGTTGAAAAGTTCCAAGGATGTACTTACTCAATATGAATTGAGAATAGGAATAAATAGGAATGAATTTTATTTAGGAACAAATTTAAAATCCTTTATCAAATATGGTATGACTTTGACTAATATTTGACAAATTGTTCAAGTTATTAACTGTCAATGTGTGTCTCCTCCTGTTTTATGTTCTATATTTTTATAATAGAAGTTTATATTCATATTATATAAACGTTTTATTATTATTTTATTGAATATTATATTTTATTATATTATATAATATCTAAGATTATGAAAGGTTGGTAGCACTGACGCTTTAATTTTATTCTTGGTAGAGTAACTTAGCTTGACTACTATACTGAGTACTTGACTACTATACTGAGTACTTGACTACTATACTGACTACTGACTATAGCTTATGTCAGCATATTGACAAAAATTGATTCATATTACGGTTAAGATAATAATAATGTAATAAACGTACTGCCACATTCGTACCACATTCGTACCACATGGCTCAGGATTTTCTAATTCAGTGTATTCAGTTACCCGATAATGGTGTCCCAGAAAGTCCCTCCTACCTTCCAAAGAACAACATATTTGAAAAGCACTCCCCTCCTCCCCGACACTCCCTCACTTCAATTGGGTCAGTGCCAAGATACCACGTGTCGTCACCTGACGATAACACATGACATGACGTCATTTTAACGGTTTCACTGTTAATTAAGATCATGACTACGACTCACGAACTCTATTAAGAATAAGATGAACCGGGATTTCTAGACAAATATTTTGAGAATTAATTTGTAACTTCTGATCGGATAGAAAAATGTAATTTTTCATTCTTGTATGATTATGCTGATAATATGATTCTTATCACTGAATTATGAACATATTAATATCTGAAATATGACCACTACTAAAACTCGCACCCACAGCTCCGAGTCAGTGTTCATGGCAGCTAAGTATTACAGTGAAGTAGCGATGAGAGTTTTCAACGTTATCAAGAGTTGGATCTCCAAGTACTACCAGGTGATAATTTTAGATTGACCAGTTGCATAATTATTGATCACTTTGACAACCTAACTACAGCACAACCCCGATTTACAGCAAACTCCGATTCACAGCGGCTGTTGCCTGTTTCCTTTCCCCCAGCTCCGCGGTAAATCAGGATTTTACTGTATTATGCTTGTTTAATGTTTATTCTTCTAATTTATTCAGACATGGATTGCCGCCTGTAACTAGATTATATGATAAGGCATGGTCAAGTTCCTAAAGAGTTTGTAAGCTCCACATAACTAAAGGAAGTCCACAACACTCAGGATTTTGTTTCGGACCCGTCTCTTCATCAGCGTCTTATGATATTCCTGGACCAAGTAGCCTCCAACGAATCTAACATGACTCAGTGCGGTAGAAAGGCCGTTAATATCATACACAGGTTTGTTGTTTTACATACTCAGTGAAGTCTAAAGAAAGTTATTTATTATAGTATACCATAGGTACGTGTACCACATTCTCTTGGTCACATTATCATGGTTACCACATTGTCTTGGTTACCACATTGTCTTGGAGCTGGCTGGCTGATACATCTTGCTCAGGTCGTTAGCGCTGCAAGAGGCGTCAAGCGCAGCGTACCCCATCGGAGAGATCTACAACCACTACTTCAACAAGAGTGGAGATTACAGCTGTTTGTCGAGTCTGGCGGTGGACTGTGAGGTGATGGCTCAACAACTCACCATACTCGAACATTGGGCCCTTACTGAAATAGCACCCAAGTAAGAATAATCATCACTGCACTTTTTCGCTGTTGTTGTATGTCCTAATAAATGCTGTTGTTTTACTATTCATTTTAGTGTTCAATGAGGATAAGATTTCATTGAATTTGAAGCAAAATATTAAACATGTCACGTTTCTTATTGTAACACTTTTATATCGCTTAGTGAATTCCTTGACAAATCATGGGTGAAAGACAAAGAACGGGCACCTCACATCTGCTCGATAATGCAGCGCTGTGACAAGATGTCCAACATGGTGGCGAGCGAGGTGTTGTCTGGGGAAACGGCGAGCACACGTGCTAAAACCATAACCCGGTGGATAAACGTGGCCACACTCTGTAGAAAGTACAACAACTTCGCCAGTCTGTTACAGGTGTGGATGTTTGTCACTGATGTAAACAGGTTGTGTGAACATAATGGCATGTTGTTCCAGTCTTATATCTCTTATCTGTACGATTGTAATAGTGTGTCATATAAAGTGTTTTACAGGTGTTACTGTGTCATAAAGTGTTTTAAAGTGTTATGATATATAATGGGTTGGTCGTTGGCATTTGCCAGATATAGCTATGACTTATTATGGATAACATGGCAACAAAAATTGTAGAGAGAATCAAGTTTTACCAACAACAAAAACTTAGAATCAGTAGATAATACAAATGAGTATTTATGTTTGGCAGACCATAATTTTTCTTAATCATAATTTTTCTTACACAATGATTGTCCCACTCATAATCATAATTCAAGTTACAATCTGAAGGCATTAATTTCATGTAAATTTGACTGGTCATTGAAGTATTATTAATTATTCAGCAAGTAACATATTAAATTAATATTTTGAGCAAGCCTCATGTGTATGGTCTTCTGATTTATTGACTCTAGTGGAAAGTAGTACACTGTCACCCCACCACTACAATCATCAATATATTATGATCCCTGTAAATACACGTACACTCTAGTGTGTCCTATTAGGACCTGTAGTGACCCCACTAAAAGGTATAAGTGATGGGGCTTGTAAGTACCATGACGTTAATGGGGCCCCCAGCTCCAGTGGCTCCCTCAATTTTTATTATATCGTGTCCCTCAACTCCCTAATATGGTATAATCACTCGCACCCTCTTTATAATTGAGATGTGTGTGTGGGTCGAGTTGTGGTGTGTGTGTCTATACTATACATACTACTGGTAACTACTGGTTACTACTGTCTACTGGTTACCAAATTAACATACCAAATTGGTTACTACTGGTTAGCAAGTTGGTAACTACTGATTACTACTGGTTACTACTGGCTACTAGGGAGGGATAAAGCTAGGAAAAATAGTGAACCTGTGTGTCGGCTCCCCACAATAAGAGAGTAGGACGAAGGAATTGTGCAGTGTTATAATGTGTTATAATGTGTTATAATGTGTTATAAATTATAATGTGTTATAATTTGCGTTGTGTTGCAGGTGGTGGCTGGTCTAACATTCAGTGCTATTCAGAGGCTAAAGTACACTTGGTGTATTGTACCGCAGGAGGTAAGGTTTCATTATTATAACTAGCTCAATGTTGGTAATATTGATTATTGAATTTACTTTCATTTTACCGCAGGTATACCTATAAATATATTATTATAATTTGTCCCACAATAGGAATTAGCGTTATTAATAGTGAAATTTGCAAAGGCCGTAGTAAGGTGATACAAAATCCAAAGTGCTTTTCATTAAACTTAAACACTGTAGATCTGTCATGTGACATTCTGAACCCAAACAAAATGTCCCTAGACTAAACCTTACTAAACCATACTTACCAAATAGCCCTAAATAACCACTTTATTGACAAACTATTTGTGCTTCAAAGTCAAAACATTAATGTTAAACTGTACCCATAACCCAAACTATTAGACTACACTATACCCTGAAAAACTGTAATAGTCGCCTTTGTGATGATCCAAAACGATTAATGCCAATTCAGTTAAATATACACTGAAACTCAATTACTTTACACACAATTATCAGTCGCCTTACTATTGATTTGATTTGATTTGAAACTTTTACAAAATAGCAAGTATACAAATGTACAGCAATTCGAACAAACATATAAAATGGGCCGAAATGTATAAATGCTAAAAAGCGTGGGTCAGTGAAACAAGTACAGAGGACAACTTTCAGAACAGGAGTTTTTTGGCCGCCCAAAGTCTCAATAACATCACCTCCACCTAGTAATAAAATTATGAAACGTGAAAAGTGTGAAACAATCAAATAATAATGTATTTATATAATATAATTGTCTCTCAAATACAGAAAACGTCCGTAAACTCTTAAAATACTCCTACAAGTACATATTATACTGATCGGTGTCCGAGAAACATGAATTACGTCATCATGGTGCCTTCTTAACCCGGCTACAGACCTTCCCGTTACGGATGTAGTGGTCGAGATGAGTCTGTTCAGCCCTCTTCTTCTTCAGGTCAGTTACCACGTTCTTCCTTGCTGCACGCTCTTCACTGGATCTATCAGGACAGATCCATACATCTTTGTGTGCATCAGCCATCCTCAGTCTCCCTGTTTTCATCAGAATCTGATTAACTGCTGTTGAGCTTGGGACGGTGATCTTGACTGGTCGGATAGCCGTGATACCTGGCCTCTTCCAGCCGACTCTAGTCGCTTCAAAATGGGGTTTCTCCCCGATCTCCTCCAATACTGCGGTAACCAGAGCTGGACGCTGTTCTCCATCCTCTTCTTTCAGGCCAAACACTATCAGATTCTTGCTCCTGTCCTCCTCTGCAGCCACACTCTTCATTACATTCTTCAGATCAGAATTTTACTGTTGCAGACCGCGCCATTTGTGCTGTTCTTTTGTACAGCGGCACTGTAGCTCTTAATCCCTGTCTCCACCGTTGTTTGTACTGTCTCTTCAACTGACGTCTTAAACAGTACGCAAAGTTTCAAAATAGGTCTCGATTAATTGCAACGTAAGCTACCACGACCACGTAACTACACACATTTGTGTTGTATCATAATTTCATCGTTATGTGTAATATGTTTTGATTAATTCCACCACAGTTCCCATACTTTAGATAAAGCAAACTAAATGCACTAACAGAATCGTGGTCTGTGCGAATCGTCAAAAACATGAAAGCTGGAATAAGGTAGCGACTGCGTAGCATGTTCAATTACACTCAGTCCTGAGTGCAATGGAAGACATGAGTGCTATCTAAGATTCATAGAGAACGATTTAACACCCTCCAGTGTGACCTCCTTTGTACTATGTTGGTTTTATTTAGCGACCTACATTTCATTGAAGTGGGTACAGAACCTAATCTATTTTGGGCCTCGTAACTTTGCTAAAATGAGAATGGTATGTTTAAATCTACCTTTTCGTTACTTTTTGTTAGTTATAGTATGATATGAATACTGCAAGTAAAAGTGATGATAAATCAGTGCAACTTATAATACCATTTAGTTGGTGTATTGCATATTATTTTAAACCCATTTACTGATATTGTCCATTTTTCCTTGGCATACACATGTCTGGACAGACTCTACAGCAGACTACTACGATGAAGTTGTTTCTGTCTTGAAAATTCTAAGCACAATTAATCCAGACAATGACAGATGAAGTGATTATATCGCGTTTTACACTAGCTAAATATGTGCTCTAAATAATGGTCTAATAATTAGTGCATAAATTCGAGGTGTTCAGACGTATAAAACACTTGTAACTGCATGATCGGAACGCGCAAGTGCGGGACAATTATGCACATTTGCAAACAAAGAACACTCCATTTGGATAGCAAACCATTATCTGAAGTTCATATTGTGGTTAATTTTCACTTTAATAGATGCCTTGTTCAACAGCCTAGCAAGTAATATAGCCCTTTTAACCACTTTTATGACAACATTTCTTGATAAATTTATCAAGACCCTTCAAATGTCCTTTGTTGACCATAAAATGTTGACTAAAATCATTAATAATGTTTTGATTGGTGGTTAACAATAAATTTTGACATTTTAACCATCTTTTTAGCACTTTTCACGAATATTAACCACCTCAAATCAACCATACTATTAAATTGCACATTTGTGATAAAAAATTATCATCCATGCACAAATGAACAACCAACACTATACATCTATAATCAGAGCAATATTTATAGCTCACCGTTCATCTTCAATTTAACCACCATTAGGACCACAAAATGCCCCCAATGAGGTTTGAAAACTTTTGTGATAGTTGCACCATGATATGATCTCAATATAATGACTACTCAGTTCATAATATCATATCTCAAAATGGTGGTTAACCCTAAAACTGGTATTTTAACCACCATAGTGGCCACATAGATGACCCATTAACCACAATTATTCAACATGACCGTACTGCAGTGTTTTGTGCACCAGAAAAACATCACTCCAACATTGAGATTAACCACAATGAGCTGCAACATAATGTTGAAGTCAACATACTCAAATTGTGTGAAAAAAAGTCAATGTCCACCAAGTTTCCCCAGATTTGCTGCTATTGCTGTGTAGTTGTTCGTCCTTCTGCACTAGCAACTGGTCCTGCAACCTGACTATCTTGTCCTTGTCTGCTAGTGCTTCCGTCTTGAGGCACTCAACGATTTCCATCATAGCGCTCATCTGACTACTCTGCCGTCGTACGAGGTCTGCTGCTTGCATAACCCATTCTGCCATATACCTTTTATAGATAGACGGAGACATGAGTATTTCTTGGTCCATATCTCCACGAATTTCGAAGTTTTCTAATTTCAGTAGACTTGCCATCGAAGTGAACCATCTATCAGCACAGCCCTCTACATCTTCCTTTTCTTCATAGTTGAAATCCTTGAGTTTCTTCTGAGATCGGGTCAAATGTAAATCATCCTCCGTGGGGTACATTGTATAGTAATGTATGTAAGTATACACACGCAAAGGCTTACTACGCGGTAGCAGCAAACTGAACTTATCGCAAAGTTACAAAAGATAAGAGAGTTCGATGATTGCAACGTAAGCTACACACACGACACACACACGACACACAATTTGTGTTGTATCATAATTCGATCGTCATGATGTTTTATGTTTTGGATTAACTTTCCTACAACAGTTCCTCTCTACTTCAGATAAAAGCAGAACTAAATGCACTAAAAGAAGTCGTGTCTGTGGCGAATCGGTTCAAAAACATGAAAGCTGGAATTAAAAGGTAAGCGATAGTTAAGATGTTCAATTTAACCAGGCTTCAGTTTCCTGAGTGCTAATGAGAGACTGAGTGCTATCTAAGACTTATCATGTGTAACGATTTAACACCCTCTCCAGATGTGATCCTCCTTGTGTACCGTATGTTGGTGTTTATTTAGCGGACCTCATTTCTATTGAAGAGGGCGTACAGAACCTCAACTCTAATGGACTCATTAACTTTGCTAAAATGAGAATGGTATGTTTTAAATCCCTTTTACGTTACTTTCTGTTAGTTTATAGTATGATAGAATAACTGCAAGCTAAAAGATGATGATATCATGCTGAACTTATTACATTACCATTTAGTTTGTTGATTTCATCATTTATTTTTACCAGTTTACTGAATTTCCATTATTTCCAGTTGGCACACACTATTCTAGAGATCAGACTCTACCAGCAGACCTACTACGATTTGAAGGTTTGTTTTCTTCTTGAAAATTTACTAACGACAATTATCCAGACAATGAAATGATGAAGTTGATTATATCGCTAGTTATTAACGTACTTAGCTTAAACATACTGAGCTCCCTAACTCCGAAGAGCTCCTAATAATAGTGCTAACATTCCTCGTAGGTGGTCCCAGACGTAGTAAAACACATCCTTGTAAACTGCAGCAACGCGCTGTGCGAGGACAAGATATTCGAGCGCAGCTACACTCTCGAACCCCGGAACCAGCGCTCCCCTACCATAGACCACGGTGCATCGTGCGCTTGACCACGGTGCATCGTGCGCTTGACCATGGTGCATCGTGCGCTTGACCACGGTGCATCGTGCGTTTGACCACGGTGCATCGTGCGTTTGACCACGGCGCATCGTGCGCTTGACCATGGTGCATCGTAGAGTTGACCACGGTGCATCTTGCGCTTGACCACGATGCATCTTGCGCTTGACCACAAATGGGTGGCAGAACTTTCACAGCATGTGTGGATTGTAAGACGGTGTGATGATGAATGTTCGCTGTTAATACTTGTGAGGTAATGTTGTCACATCATCCTTATTACTGGGGTTGTAACTCTTATACCTGCGGGGGTCACTCATAAAACTGTATGAACTCCAACTCATAATTACTAGTCGTTAAAATCATCATTAAATTTGAGTCAGTTCTTATGAATTATCCGTGCTGAAACTGGATCTTATAATCACATTCAGTGTATTTTTGTCGCGATGTCTTCTGTTAACTATTTATTTTTTGTTTACCGTTAGCGCCGAAATATTATTTGTTTTAAAGAGACACCAGCATACACCTCTATGTTATTTGCTATAAATTCTGATATTTTTATGGAAGGGAGACGGGGTAGACCATGTTTAAACTTATTAGATGTTATTAGAAAAGACTTGACTAGTAGAAATCTTGATATTAGACTTAAGAATTTGACTGATTTCGAAGACCTTAGATTTTTAGCTTTAGATAGGGAGGAGTGGAAGAAGTTAGAAGATGGTTGATGTTTTTGTTTTCTTTTTTATGCGTTTTGATATCTATAAGGTGCCTAGGATGCTCTTTTAAAGAGATATTTCGTACTTTGAAAGATTTACTACTTTAAAGAGACGGTATCAAAATAAAGCTCTTGAAACTACCAAACTAACGTTATTTGTGATCGCTCTAGAGTTGACCATCCTGGCGTCATTGATGTTTTGCTTCTATTGAAAACCCCAGTGAAAGTTCGAACTCTTAAATCTGGATCAGTTTGAAACCACGTAAATCAAAAGTCGGCAGTTGGTTAAGAAAGAAAAAGATAAATGAACGTAAGGAATGAATTTCCGGAAAGGATTTGTTCTGGTTCTAACTTTGTTCAAGATTTACTAGAGTTCGTTTCTTCACTGGGAACCGTTATATGTTGGACAGTTTCTTCACACTCGACGTGTTTCGTGTACTAATTGTATTTTCTGATTTATTTAATGAGACGATAATGATAACAGTTCTACTTAATAGAACGGGATATTCTAATCCATTCTATACATCGTATTATTTTGCAATCTGGTTATTGTTAAATTATGCTGATTTGATAAAATCTGGATTTCATTGCGCGAATGTTAGCTTTATTTATGTAGAGATCTGTAGTTGTAATAATGTGTTATTTTGAACCAGTAATTAACAGTTTATTAATTTGTCTTGAAGTGCAGCGGATTTAAGAGTGTTAAAGCAAGTATCTATTTTTCATCCCTTATCCGATTGGTACTATTACCAGTGCAAAATCACAGTGAAAAGCTTCAAAAAGAAAATGATATAGATCTATTATATTGTATCTTATGCTTGTCAGGATACTGGATAGGAACATAAGTGAAGTAATATAAATGTTCCTTAGGGAATGTACCTTGGTTGGCCACCATTTCCTCGAATATGGCAACAAATCTTAACTCTGTTACACGTAATAAAAGCCATGATTTTCACATCAATATAGGAGTAATTAAATGTTTTTAGGGATCCTCTCTTCGATCGTTTTTATGGCGATTGCTGGTTTATGGATAAAAAATGTGAACAAAGTGCACCGATAGTGTGTTTAGCTGGCAGCGCACACGTACGTACGTACGTAACGCGCGTACATTATCTTTGTGCATGAACTAAGCTTATTCTTGTATCACGTTGTGACATCCACGGTCGTTTCACTAGGTGATACAGGGGGAGCGCGGCGGGTCATACAACGTATGACAAGCTTATTCGAGCTAGGCCTTAAAACCCTTTTAAAAATGATACTGTACTACTCGGTCACCACAGTCGAAAGTCGATAACATGGAAAAGTTGTGCAGTTACAGAAGAAGAAAGCACAAGGAATAATGGGTGGGTACTTTGATACAACAAGTGGCCGGTTAAGTTAAGTATGACGTATATTTTCACATATAATATGACATAGCCATGTAATGTGTATACGCGTACTGAGTGACGCGCTTGTTTCACGCGCGCTACTGCAAGCGAGATGGCTCCATGGTTTATATATATATATTTCCAGTATCAATTTGTTTAATATACGTTTGCTCTAACTAACTATAGTTAGTTAGAGCAAACGTATATTAAACAAATTGATACTGGAAATTTGCTTGCTGGTGCATTTGTTGATACTTACTTGGGGACCTCAGGCTATCATGTTCATAAACATAAACGAATAGAGATTCGGCGGAATGACAGGCTGAGCGCGGCCCAATAAGTTGATACACGTTGTAACTTGTACACTTCTTTTCGTGATAGAAGGTATATAACGTACATCAAGGTATTTCATTTAATTTTACTATTCAAATCAACTTTAGATGCTTAAACATTATTATTGTACGATTTCAAGTGCGCCGCGCGAATTTGACCAATTAATGTAATCCTATTGAATCGAGCGCTAGATCCAAGGTAAATACAGTCTATATAATCTATACTATTAGATATTGCAATTTACAGTGCATATATTTTAAGATTACATTGATGTTTCATATTGAATCACAATTTTATCGCAACAATCATCACTATTTGTGGATCAAAGCACATTTGAGAACCTGCTGTCTTGTATAAGTAAGGAAATTAAAAAGAATTTAAAAAGTCTTGATGATAAAACCAATCTACAGAATTGCATGTCACTCAATGTTCTTTTATTGCTCTCACACAACACTCATCTTTCAGAAGTATTCGTGATTAAGCATTTATTCCCAATCCTAAAATAGTCTAGTTATCTATTTATTCCTTGTGCTACCAATCATTGCTTCCTCATTTTGTGCTTAATGTCATTTGTAATTTGTGTTATGCCCCTCGTCAAATTTCTGAACAGCAATAACATTTGTACTTGTAAGTGTAATACCAGTATTGGTATTACAGTCGTATTACGGTCGTTAAATTTGTCGATATTATGAAGAATAACTGAACTTCAGGCGTAAAACATATTTATGAGGTAGGTATTACGTAACCTGAGCAGCAGATCCTCTTTCGAGTCCACAGGTTGTAGATCTCAACGAATTGATTTTCTGAGGTGTTATCTTGTCCCTCAGAATCAGTTACAAAGTTAATGTATTACACCGAGTTTCCTGACAATTCAAAATATAAAATTCTAGAATTTCCCTCATAGAACTAGAAGCTTTTACAGTCATATGGTCAGAATGACTGGGGTTAATTGAGCTGGCGTCCCTGACAATAAGCATAATAAGGCATGGTATTCAATAGTGTCATTTTACAACATTAGATTCCTACACTATGACATAGTGTATATAAGCTAAAATGCCTGCAAATCATATTATATAAGCGTAACTCAGTGCCTAAATTTCGACCTGTTGAGGGATTGTGATCCAGCTTGAGGAGTTATATTTGTCAAGATTAGACCTATTTTATTTTTTCTCAATTATCGCTAGTACTAGTAATACTTGCCATAATATTGTGATAATGTGCATTAATAATGAAGTTTCTGGAAATATTTTTTTGATATGTTTTTTCCTGATTTTGAAAAGTAATTTCCGTTGTTTTTGATGTTACATTATGAAAAAAGTTCACCCTCATAGTTTTGAGCTTTTCAATCTTTTCTTATTGTACACAGCAGTACCAAATGCATACGTCTGGTACAATGAATATTGGCAAATGGGTCTATATTTGACTAACTGACTTCCAGGGTCCCATCTGGATGTTTAAAGGCCAAAAACAGACATTTTCAGAATTTTACCTGTATGAGCACTTCGAACATCAAGGCGTGGCTGGAGTAGAGGCAAACACTTTTTGAGCAACTTTAATTTGGGTTTGTTGAACCACCCTATGTGGGTGATGAATTGGCAAGAACTTATTTTACCAGAAAGCTGCTAGGAATCTTCTGTTTAGCTTGTTTGTTTAAATGATTCTTTACTTCTTCACATCAACACAAATGTTGGTTTCAGTAGGTAAATGCTAAATGAAGTTTAATCTTATTATAGATTGTAGGACCATGCTGACTGGGAGCAGGCGTACCCTGTTTGAGCCTCTTAAGCTGCAGTGTTGCAGATATTTCTCATCTGAAAATGAGCAGACACCCCCAAGAACACTGATCACAGGTACAGTCAAGTCTTAAGTGTAAACTGTCATTTTTGTAAAGAGTATCAAGTATTAGGGACTACAAAAATATGTTTCTGAAAGTCTACTCATCCTAGTATTTTTTAAGTTACATTTTTAGAATATTGGAAATTAATGATCAATCCTATAAGGTGGTCGTAACTAAAACCTCTAGCTACAGTCTGTGTACCATTTTATCCCTACTAGTTCTCCTATTGTTATAAGATTTGAATTTTCAGGCAGTTTAGGGCAACTTGGTTTGACGCTTGCAAAACAAATGAGGTAAGTATATAAGAGTACGAGCTTCTCAGCAGCTGTATTGTACAGTAATACAGTATATAAGTTTTTATTCGCACCATTTCATCTCTGAACTTTTCAACCAATTATTCCTTTTTTAGGTCACGGTATGGGAAAGAGAGAGTCGTATGTACAGATATTCGGAAGCCTCCTAAGATTGTCCTTCAGAGTGGTCAGCTACTTTCACTTTTGTAACCAATAAAATTATAATGTTCATATAATCTACCTTGTGTGTTGTAGACATATATGCCAGATTTATACCCAAAACTGTGAGTAAACCAAATTAGAATTTTTAGAAAAGAACAAAACTGTATTTTTCAGGACCGTACAGGTATGCTAACATTTTGAATAAAAATGGCTTAGAAGAAATCCTTGTCGAACATCGTATTGATCAGGTATGTCTTTTCAACAAGGTCTTCTCATGTTCAAGCACGTGTACTAAACACTTATTTTAAAGATTGCAATTCCCGTTTCTACACGACAATGTTTAATTATCAGGTGGTACATTTCTCTGCGTTACTCAGTGCTATCGGAGAACAGAATGTGACTCTTGCCCTCCAAGTCAACATTGAGGGCTTCCATAACATCATCGACCTCTGCAAAATACACGAGTAATTATTAACTAGTGTTAAAATACTTTTACTTGCAGTTTTCTGAATATCTCAAAAATGTGTAGTCTATAACTTAATCTGTTTTTTTTTTCTAATTTGGGAAAAAAAGGTGTCACATTGACTTAAACCTATCTAAAACATTTGCAGACTGAAGTTATTTTGTCCAAGTACGATAGGAGCGTTTGGACCGGAAACCCCCAAGAATCCGACCCCGGACCTGACCATTCAACGTCCGAAAACAATATACGGAGTAAGCAAGGTGTACATGGAGTTGCTGGGAGAGTATTACCACCACAGATATGGACTGGACTTCAGAAGTGCTAGATTTCCCGGTATCATATCGGCTACTACCCCTGGTGGCGGGACTACTGGTTAGTCCGCTTTATTTCATTTTTTAAACAATTATTTTGCTGTTTATTCTTGAATAACCCACGTTGATAGCATAGTCAGATGTACATTTCTCTTCTAATAAATAATAATAGTAAATAACCGACTGCCAAGGTTTGATGCCTAGGCAGTCGAGACTCGAGACCTCTTATTGAGACCTGATATAATAAATAATAGTTCTAATAAATCAAAGCTGCCATGACTTGACAGGTCGTTATAAATTTAGGAGTTCTCAGTTCTCTCCGCGCCTCTTATATTATAAGTGTTACAGGTGCAGTTGTACAGGTGTTGTACTGTTCTACTTTCTAACCGACTCATGAGTCATGAGTTGACAATTAAAATCTCAATACTCAGTTCTCACTGTGTATCATACTTGTACGTATCTAAATTATAATATAACATACACAGTGTATGCCAATCATTTTATAATTAAGATACTTACAAGTAGTTTGGTGTACACTCATAAATACTGCACATTGCCGAGATTTGTACATATTATCTCTTACATAGGTACATGCATTGTGACTAATTTAACATACATTATGGCTAATTGTTGATGCCGGTTTTCTCCTAATATCTTAACTAGTGTGGCTTGATATCCGGTCGTTTGTGGGGAATGTGGATGACGTATTAGCACTAGCTTGAGGGCAAATGATGAGTCAATCTCGTCAGGTGGTGTACACTCCATAACCATTCCAAACTGAACATAGTCACGGATATTAATAGAATCTACCAATAGAGAGCTTACCGTAGTGACGTAACCACTTGATGAATGTTGAAGTGTAGTATTGAAGATAACGTGCGTTATTGTACTACCTGTCCTACTAATATAACATGTCCACACTTCATGCAGGCAGCTACTCATTTACACCCGTACACTGCAACTGGCCTGGTTAGTGGTTATATTGCGTGTACTCAGTCCTACCGTGTGCTTAGTACAATTATACTCAGCGACAGAATTGCTTAAAATATTCGTTGGGGTGTTACATTTATATCGAATTTTCTGGATAGAATACATTTTAGTGCTACATACGTATACGCTATGGGAGAGAAGAATACGCAAAAGCAAATGTCGACGCTTCAATATGTCCAGATATCTTAGTCAAGAAAATACACTCCATATTATCTTCTATGGGTTTATTGAAGTTTCGAGAAGTTTAGGGGTTCGTTGGGGTATGTTGGGGATCGTAAGATTATCCACAGGACTTTCATAAGGGCAATGAGGGATATGAATTAAAAGCCAATTGATAGGGAACCATAAAAGAGTTTAGTGTAATCACTGAAGACCAGTCTCACATCTGGCTTAGAGAGAATGATATAATAATCGGTGCTGCAGAACATAATGTCACTGCAAGATAAAGGTCCTGGTACCTGGGCAGGTGTGGGTGTTGCAGGACTGAATCTGGGAGGATGTTCCAGAACATTCTGCACCCCCGTGAGCAGGAGGGGGATTAGTACAGGCCCGGATCCTTGTCTGTGTTCTTCTGAGGCAGCAAGACCAAGAAGAGTAGCTGGTCCAACCTCCGTTCACTGGGTCCGGGGCTGAAAGATAACAACATTTATCCCGCTATTAGAACATGGAAATTGTAAAGGATTGTCTCTACAAAACTTTTGCCGATGATATGTTGCATGGAGCCTGGGAAAATTATTATAACGGTTAATAATCACAACAGATTGTGTCAACAGTACAGATTAATTTTTTTAGAAAACTCTACCGTCAATTTAGAATTCAATCAGCCCAAAATTATCGTTGACAATAGCTAATTACATACTGTATATCCACGATGTCTCTCCCGAATAACTGTTCTTTAGGTCGGTTTTTTTTCGTAGAGTGAACTTGTTTGATCCTATTTCGTAAGTAATGCCTCCACAATCTGTAATATTGAATATGTGGAGAACTCCGGAGATTAGGATCAGCTGTCAGCCACAGTATTCTTCAATAGTGCAAAATCAGTCATTATTGACGAAAATATTTATAAGACCAGCAAAACTTGCTGCAGTATTATAATTATATATAATCATTTGCAGGGTAATGATTGTAGAAGCAACTTGGTCATGCTAACCGTGTCGTTTGAGACACTCCGTCTGCGCTTCCGCAAGAGTAGTGTACATCTTCACTCCAGCACTGTAATTACCTATCTTGATACTCTGTCCATCCACTTGACGTTGGAGATATCCATCTTAGAATAACCAAAAGAAATATCGACATTTTCTTAATCTTTCTATAGGATTTACAGTATAAACATCAGGAAGTAAATTTAAATTTTATTGTTATGCTAGAAGTCTGATCTAGAGGATAGTGATTACAGATCACTGCGCTAAACTCGACCCTCAGCTCCTGAACGACTGAACTAGAAAAGGAAAGGAAACATAATGTTTACCTCCACTCTCACATGCGACAACAATTATGCTCAAAAATTACAAACTAAGGAGGGAAAACCGGTAAATTTGTCTGAGCAGCTCTCCAAACAGTACGACAATAATATAATGGTCCCTACTTCACTTTTTAAACGAAGGAGCAACTCTAACCTTCGAGGCCAGTGCTATAAGTAGCATGTTTTACGAAAGAACAGCTCACTAAACACGCTACATGTATGTAGACTAAGCAAGAGAACTTAGTATGGCTGGATAGTAGAAGAGTAATACTTAAAGCCAAGGGACTAAGATTCATACTTCACATTAGCATTTAGTATTAGCATTTTAACTAAATCATGGTTTTTTGTGGTTAGAAAGCAGCACTGAACGAATGCTTTAGGTTATTGACCTCTATCTTTGTTTAAGAGTGATCTGACCAGTGACCATACGCAGCTGCCTGCTGCAGGCCCCGTCTTCTTTCCCTTCGTCTCCGTCAAAGATAGATTTACATCTCTTTAGCCTCAGGGGGCCACAGAGCCGCAATGTAAGGAATTAATTTGGACATCAGTGATTTCATCGAGTTTATAATAAATAATACAAGACGTATAGATAATAAACAATATTTTCTATCTTTATATTGGCCCGTCCTTTAGCTCAGCCGCTAGAAAATAAAAAAATAAAATCTTATGTGGCGCTTACATTATCATACAGGTTCGAATTAAGTTCTGTATTGACAAGCCGCGTATTGCGTACGGGTATTTAACAGCTATTGAACTTACTATTTGATGGAAATGCTAAGGGGTTTTGTAAATTTGTCTTGTAGATTTTTTAAAAACTATCTACTACTAACTAACATAACTACTAAAACTTAACTGAATCACACTGCAATTACCAGTACTACTTTTAATTTGTTAGGGCGGCAATTAACGGTATAATATTTCTTTAACAAAAACATTATCCACTACAGATTACGCAGTGCAGATATTTTACGATGCCATAGAAACAGGTCATCACGAATGTTTCCTCGAGCCTGACACACGACTTCCCATGATGTACATCTCCGATTGTATTCAGGTATGTTTGATCCACTTTTTCAATTTGTGCATGCTAAGTATTGTTCTGAACATGCATCTAATCATGCATGTATGTACTGTGGATTACAATCCACTCTTTTTCTTCTCTATTTACGATGTGGTGGTAATATTGAAGTTGGCCTGTTGGCTGGTTAGAGAGGAGTGCAGTGTACAAACTTTATGAATTATTAATTGTGTGTAATTGTGGACAATAGTGAACCTGCTTGCTAAAACTCGAACAATAGCCACATTTACAATTAATCATGTCTTATTTCACTTATTTATGTATTATATATATAAGACTTATATTCTCCGCCATTACTTATGCATTATATAAATATACTTACTTATGAATATACTGCGACCGGTACAATAAGTTCATCAGTCCACTGTTTAGTTCACTGGTTCAAGTTGCCATTCTCTCCCCCTCATAGTTATTAAATAGGCTTATTTTAAAAGTTAAAAGTTAAAATTATTTGCGTTTGGCAATAATATATGCGCTTAATTAATGCAGTGACCTGTTCTAACGTTAATGTAGTGCAAGAGACATCTTTCTTGAGCTGGAAACTTCTCGAAAAGTAAGGAATAATTATTCGCTTCATTGACGTCAATTATAAATGACGGTTAAATAATCGCGTGTTTGCCTCGAGTAAGTGCGTGCTTATGATTCAGATACAGTCTCTAACTACATGTAAACTAAAGTACGTATACCCGTGCTTGTCTTTATAATCAAAACATAAAACATTATGCATACTATAAAATGTGATGATGATCTAGATTCTAGAATGTTCTTTACCGCATTCTCAAGATGTCTACATTCTCGAGGGTCTACTAAATATTTAATATGTAACGCGCGAACCGATCTCTTTTCCATTAGTCTGCGCTTCACTTGTTTATTTTCGCGCTAAAAATAGCTAGGCAGCGCATGTTGCCATTCTAATGCATACAGCGCTGCACTCGATCTTGGATCTAATTAATTTAGGAAAATGGATTACGATTACTTAAGATTCCTTAGATTATGTCAGTTCCTGTCATGTACCGGAATATTTGATACAACTAGCTTGCTAATGCCCTTTTTAAGTGATAAAAACCTTAGCAGCTTACAGGATCGATAGCACAATCTTTTGATTCTATAATTAATTAAAGCTATAATTATGAAATATGCAAGCGGATTGATACATGTTACGTATCACAAATATCAGAGATATCAGAGATATTTCCGCCTTCGGCGGCGCGCGCTTCGCGCGCGAAAAGTGGCATGCAACGTATGTCAACAAGCGGACATCGAATGAAAATCTAGAGAGTTGACGATCACTTTTCCAGAGCGTGATTCAAATGATGGAATGCCCTGAGGAGGATCTTACACAAAGAACTTACAACATCGCTGCGTTTAGTTTCACCCCAGCTGAAATTGTAGCTGAGGTACAGAAATATGTGCCCTTGACAGTCGACTACAAAATTGACAAGGCCAGGCAGCGCATCGGTAAGTTTCTTGTTTAACAGATGTCTGAAGTCCATTTGTGAGAAGATGTTTTTCATTTTCGTACCAATGTTTAAGAATAAAACTATCACATCTTTTAAGAAAATCGTCTCAAAGTGTATTACTGAGAAAAGGTCACAATCGTCCCATTTTCAGCAAGTACATGGCCCCATGTCTTAAAGGACAACAACGCAAGGAGAGACTGGAGATGGGATCCACAGTTCAATCTCGAGAAAATGGTACCGTACATGTTACAGAAGGTCAGGGACCAGCTACACAGCGAACAGGTTATTAAGGAGCTCTTCTAGTTTTAGGATCATAGGACAATATTATATAGGGGAAAGTTTTTAGACCAATGAACCCGAACCTGCTAGAGAATAGATGCAATTTGTTTAAGATGGGGTAATTTTCGGTTAAATTATTTAGGACTTATTTGTTATCGGACGTAAACGAAATCTTCCGCAAAAACCATGCTCGGAGTTGGTTAAATTTAATAGTTCCGATTTCTAATGTAAATTGATTCGAACTTCGAACATACATTCTAGTGTACCGTTCAAACATCTTGTATATTTTTGGACATTTTATTTTCCTACCTCTGATGCATGGTATCGAATTAAAACGCTGCTGAACTTAACGGTTTGGTTTTGGATTCGATTGATAGTCGGATGCGCGGCTCAAATCAATCAACAGGTAAAATGTGGAGCCACGCACCCGAACCGAATCTAGAACTGAACCAAACCTGCAGTCTGCATTAAAGTTCAACAGTGTGAACACTGAAGCATTCTTATTTTATTTAATTATCTAAACTTATTTAACTATTAAATTTGATATTTGAATAAATTATGTATTTAAGATTCTGCGTCATTTAGATCGATAGTTATTTTTCAAATAACTAAATTCACTAAATTAAATTGAATATTTGTTTCATTTCTGCATGTCAAGAAAAAACTATTTAATTGTAGGATAATTTAAATTGTTTACACTATGAGGGATCGTTCACATCTCACGTCAGCCTTTTTGACCCCCTGACCCTCCCCGTCTGTGAGTCACTTTACGCTGTGTAGAAATTACACTAACTAAGTAACTTGTCCATACCCCGTCCTTGTTAGACTAGTTTACGTCACATGTGAACGATCTTCTATTGAATCATTGACTTAGACTGTACTTTGTAGTTAGTAAAGTAATAAATATTTGTTTCTTTAACCTGTATCATATCAACCGTACCACCAAACATATCAATCTAAAATTTAACGTCATATAAATAGGTCTGTTTCGCACGCAACAGATTTAAAATCTAAGGATTTTATATTTGCCGAATTTTACTCAGGAACATTAATTTTTGTCGAGAAAATGGAACGGATAAATTATTCTTCCGTGGATACATATTTATTTAAAAGCTTGAGCTTTATCTGTTTCAATATTTAAATATTGTTACTTGGTAGTATTTAATATGAGTTAGGATCGAAATTATTTATTGCTCTATAATTAAATATAATATAAACCCTTGTATTACTTTTCCAAAGCATTCACTAAATGTGTAAAACAGCCAATTTGAATGGTTTAATGAACCAAATGAGCTTTGTCGTTTTATAAATGGAAAGCAAACCGGCAAACTTCGCTCCTACTAAATCGCTCGCCCAAATTTTAAGAAAATTCTTGTGAAAAGGCCCTTTAGGCATGAAAGTGATCTAGATCGGTGAATTTTTGGACGCTGATTCCGAATCACCCCCCATGACGTAAGGTTAAAATGCTTCCCTGGAGAGTTATGGGCAAAAAACCGTTTTGGTCACGTGACATGAGGCTAGTAAAACGTGAATTCGATTATTTAGGGCTCGGGTTAGGGTTGCGGTTAGGGTTGTGGTTAAGATTATGGATAGCTTCGGGGTTAGGGTTAGGGTTGAGATTAGGGTTTATGTAAAACCGTTTTGTACGGCTGCAAAACCAAAGTCACGTGAAATTTTTGGGCGAGCGATTTAGTAAGACTAAGATCAGAGCCGGCAAACTTAGTATCACGTCGTGACCCCCACGGTCGTATTCACTCCACTTTATCGTTATTGCGATAAATTAGGGGAGCCGCGCACTCGTGCGCGGCGGGTTATACAACGTATAACAAAGCAAACTCAGGTTAACTCAAAGTGAAAAATAATTGTTCCTACATTTTAATGAAAAGTTAAGTTGAAATTGATAATTCAAATTGGAAATGACAGCCATTGTAATGGCTTTTACTAATTCGCGCGCCCAAAAATTTCACGTGACTTTGGTTTTTATGGTTTTGCAGCCGTACAGAACGGTTTTACATAAACCCTAATCCCAACCTTGTAGCGCGATGCGTTACTGTGCCGCGCCCGCGCGCACTCAATGAGGCTTCTCACAGCGACATCTCTAGATCGGCGAGATGCGCTACTGTGCCGCGCCGAGCTGAGATGAATTGACATCGTCAATTAAATCCCAACCCTAATAATATAAGTCTTACCTGAGGACCCCAGGCTTTAATGTTGGTAAACAACATTTCTGAATAGAGATTAGGCGGAATGACAGGCTGAGCGCGGCCCAGTAATATAAATCTAACCATAACCCCGCGCGAAGCTAACCATAACCCTTACCACAACCCTAACCCGAGCCCTAAACAATCGAATTCGTATTTTACTACTTACTAGCCTATTAGTATTACGTTGACATACGTTGCATACCACTTTTCGCGCGCGAAGCGCGCGCCGCCGAAGGATGTATCAAGTATTACGTGACCAAAACGGTTTTTTGCCCATAACTCTCCAGAAAAGCATTTTAACCTTTGTATCACGTGGTGACCCCCACTGTCGCTTCACTATAAGGGGAGCCGCGCACTTCGTGCGCGGCGGGTCATACAACTAACAACGTATGACAATTTAACCCTAAGTCATGGGGGTGATTCGGAATCAGCGTCCAAAAATACACCGATTTAGATCACTTTTTTGAAGGACTTCGCCGCTTCGACGCGCCGCGCGAACTAGCATTCTTGCTTCGCAACCCATTGTCGATCGTTGCTCTGCTTCGCAGAGCAACGATCTCGATGGGTTGACATCGTCAACCAAATCACTTTTATGCTTAAGCAAAGGGCCTTTTCACAAGAATTTTCTTAAAATTTGGGCGAGCGATTTTACTCGGCTGCACCATTTTACTCGGCCACCATAGCACACTCAACACTTGTAACTGCAGTTTTACAGGACTCTAAAGTCTAAATGCTTAATGAATACACTTGCACGGCTTTTGCAATCCATTTTGATCTTCTCGTGCGCCTGGTCCCTTTATACTTTAAGTTTATAAACTTAAAGTAAGGGACCAATGAATAAACATATATGTTTATTCATTGGTCGATTGAAAAAGATGATCGAAAGATACTCCATTTGCTCAAAACAATTCGTCCATTCTTCTTTAAGACGTGTAGAATCACTACAGTTTGAGTTAGGTATTATTACAGCATTATGTTTTGGAGTATCACCGCAAATGCACTTGAAAAGAAAAATCTCGAAAGCTGTTAGTGTTATAATTATTAAAGATAGACAATCTAACATTATAATATTATATTGAATATTAATGCACCTATTATTTTCTTGCAATCAAATGAGTTTCTATAATCTCGTACAAAAATCGACAGTCATATAAGCTTCTGCGACAGTGGTTGCTAGTCAATCTGCCACTTTGTGTTCCTCCGATCTTTGCTTTAAGTTGAAACTCACTCCGCGGACACTGCCAGTGCCCAAACTCGTAAAGACCTGAGTCAAACTTCTCAGCTTCACACGCACTTTTCCGAGGATAGATTTCTTAACAAACTCTCCAAAGCTGTTCACCGAAATCATGTAGATAAACACATTGGACATGCCATTCAGGAAGGTAATGAAGAAGGCAAACCTGGCAAAGACCACAAAGAAGAACCTGCGGGTTTCAACATCCATGATTGGGTAGAGATTAATGATAATGCTCTGGTTTACAGCAACGGGTCCGAAAGAGAGAACGTACGCTACTCCCACGTAGAGTGACGTCAGGGCTCCTTGCAGGTTTACAGTTCCTATCTTCACCCGAACAAAGACCAGCAGAGCTATTGTGGTGGCGAAGACGATGAAGTTGGGGATAACCATTATGGAGGTGATGAGCAGCGGGCGAGCCCACTTCCAGACCGGGGCTCTGAAGACGTAGTGGCATCTGTACAACCTGTAGTCAAACGTCACACTGTCCTTGTCAATGTAGAGTTGGACCGCAGGAATTATACAAGCGATGAACCACATAGCAGCGGCTATGTAATTACCCGTTATTTTCTTCCTGTTAATGGACCGCAAAGGGAAGGCAAGACACATCAGCTTGCTTATATGCATGGCACAGATGAGAAGCTCCGCCGATATGAATATTGGTGCCTTGAGGAAGTTCTGAATGGAGCACAAATAGTCCCCAAAGATCCATCCGTCAGCGATCAGAGACACCAGAATTGGAAAAATTGTGTTCAGTCCCATTAGGATATCACTGATGGCTATGTTTTTTATCAAGGCCACACTCACCCTATCCAGTTTTATTGCTTTGTACCGGACGGTTGCCAGCAAGATGATGACATTCCCGACCAGGTTTACAAGGAGGGCTAACGAAGACCAGGCGATGAGGACGTATCTTTCAGTCGTGGTCTTGAAGGCGTATAGAGTGTGGTTGGAGATAGGGACTTTGATGACCATCCTTCTTGTCGAGCTGCGATTATGATGATCTCTTTGAAATGACTAAAGGATGCGATTATCCATCGTATTTATAGTAGATAGTTCTCGTATTAAGTGCCCGATAACTTATTTCAGATAAAGACTTTTCATATGACGTCGTTTTTCTGACTGAAAATAATTGGGTGAAATAAGTGGATATTTATCAGAAGTATAAAGAAATCAAGTTGGCTAAGAATGACGATCACACTAAATATAATCAAAGCTGGACAAAGTTCTTGCCATTCTAATATGAAAATCGTGCTTTCAGAAATTGTCCAACTATTGGCTGTGTCAATCATTTACAATCACATGATACACGTTACGGCTTACCATGAAAAATAACTTTTCTAGAACATGAATCTCGGATTACTCACTATTAACGTTACTGACGAATAGCATTTAAACGGATTAAACGGATTAAACGGATTAAACGTTAATTGGTCAAGAGAAGCCCTAACACTCCTGGCTTGACAATACAAGAATGAAATCATAACCTAGAAATGATGCATGATGCAGTGACAGAGAGATGTACAGCGAAAATTTCCTAATGCCTAATGGAACTAAAAGCTCTTAAAGTTAACTCATCTTCCAGAAAGCTATTTTCGGAGGGATCTACTTTCGAATAAACTCCTTTGAAATTTGAAAGGTAATTGAAGAAATAAAAGCATTGTGTCCTTTCACAGCATAGTATTGACATTGTCTGAGACAGCTGCAGATATTTCTTGCGTTGTGAAGTGCGATAAAGAAACAATGAATGTTTAATTACATCCTTGTTAGCTGATCTCGAGGTGACATACGACACCTTCAATATATATATATATCTATATATCATACTCAGCCCTGTTCCGCAACCTTGTCAAGTGTCAACCCGATCAATTTCTAGAAAGCTGCAAATTTCCACATGCCCAGCACTTATTTTTTAAAAGGAGTTGAGCGAGATGACGATATGTACAGAGTACAGACGGCGGAATGATGAGAACCACCAGATCCTGGCGGAACTAATTTGATTCATGATATCACGCGAACAGGCCCTACCTTCACACATAACATATCTTCTTTGCATTAAGCCACTGATTCAGGCCATGCATGAAGGATCATAACAGCCTAACTGCACCAAGGTCACTATATCCCTGGCCCATATTTAATTATATGAAATTAATACTTTTAGTTTTAGATTTGGTCTATAAACTTGTAAAGCCCCAGCTTATTTCAACACTAACAGATTCATCTGGTCTTCACTTTTTGGAAAAACATGACATAGTTCATGAATAATTATATTTTTTATATTTGGGCGATAGAAACAAGTTGAAGTGTAAATTAATGAGTTTATGGCCCGTGCAAATCTTAATCTCAAAAGCTAAAGGTCATTTTTGATTCTCCAGGTTCTACAAACTCTAACGCAGTTTTTTAGTGCTTATACTTTACGTTAATGCCGTCAGTGGGATTACCTTAAAACAGCATAATAAATTTAACACTGATCGCACTATTATTTTTTTTTCAAATCAACTTTATTAAAAATAAAACTTTGCTAATTTCCTTAATATGAGTTTAATTCCTGTTTAATTCCTGTTTACTGATCAACTCTCAAAGTACTCAATTCAAGGCGTACTCAAAACGCGTGAAAAATCGAAAATAAGTTCAAAGTTTAGTAATAAATTGGAAATGATATGGTTTATTAAATATAGCTGTGGTCAGTTTACTACCGCCCTCATCAGATACAAATTTCAAGTGTGGCAGTGCAACTGTTTCATATTCTAGCTCAAACTTGGCTCTCCTTCAAAGTTTTATCTATGTTGGTTTTGTACCCGTAAACTCTGAATAACTTTCACATGTTTGTTCTTTGGAATCAGTCGATACTTTCCCTCATCGCATCATGACCTTATACCACCTAGTCATAGTGTATACTGTATAAATATCTCCGGGATTTCGACGCGGGATCATATTATCACTCAGCCCGGCCCGCTGTTAGATAAACATCTCAAGGTGATATCATCCCGCCCCGGAAATTTGTATAAACCCGGCCCGCTTTTTAGTCGTAACTGATGTTTATCATTCAATTCTCCGACTTACAATAATCAATGATACTGCTGATTAGAACTCGATAATAGTAGAACAGTTAGACGCGCGATCACGTGGGCGCGTCACGTGCGTACCACGTGCCACCAATAGCATACGCCGAGTCTATACCACGTGGCACGAAAGCGCACCACGTGATATGAAACATCGTAACCGTCCACTTCTTTTACACGCAAATTCCTGGGAACGTTGCCAAAGCAGCTCATTCTTGGAATTTCTCCAACGCGTGGCGTGAGAAGTTGGCGACTAGCCAGCTACCCTTGTCCGTGCCCTAAAAATAGTATTGTTTTGCTTGCTCTCCTTCCAGCTCTTGTTCCTGCTAACGTTCAAGCTATTGCTCCACTATGACAGATCGGTTTGACATTCAGATTGATGAACTGCTTTCCAATCGTGTTTTATCACTCTCTTCTAAAGTATAAATCCCTTGTCGAAATCGCCGGAGATAATTATAATCCATAAACACTTCACGCTCAGGGCTAAATAAATGTAATCCCTCAGCTGGCGCTTCGGGATTACATATTAACACAAAACTCGTGCGCTGCGCGGATGATCTGTTATATAAACCCTTTGCGTGGCGGGTTTATGTTATTATAGTACTGTTATAATAGAGTACTATTATAGGGCCAGGGCGTGAGTTTTTTTACATACCACCATTGATATTATTGTGCACCAACTAATTATATCCATTCCATTGGTCTCGATGTGATGAGGGACAGTCTACACTTGTAGTTATACTGATAGCTTCAAAAATTTGAGCTGGAATATTGAACAATTGAGTTGTGGGTATGGAAGTGTTCACATATTATGACGTCAGCAGCCGAAGGGAGAGGGGCGGGTTTGGAAAAACTCGAGGTGAGGGGGCGAGGGGGGTCTGAGCCTTGCTGACGTCAGCAGAAATGTAACGTTTGGCTGACGGGAGGGGGTAGGTATTAAGTAAGGGGGTTAAGAAGGCAAGGGAGTCTGGCAAATGCTGACGTCATTAGGGGGGTCCCTCAATGCTGACAGTTGCTGACAGTTGCAGGGGGGGGGGGGTAAAATTGGCTAAAATCTTGCTGACGTCATATGTGAACGCTCCCTTACTATTTGACTCGATCCAATCATTGAAAATATCTGAAAACGCACTCAGCGACCGAGACGTAATAAGCCCCAACGGATTCCCGCACTATATAGTGACAGGACTATATAGTGGCAAGCACTTTATAGTGACATGTCACTATATCAATGAAGGACAAGCCATATCAATCATGGCTACTCCCTCTGTTGAATACACTACTGGTAAGCGAGGAAAGGACAACGCTCTCGTGGATGGTCAACGCTAAACCTTAAACAGAAAAAGGAACGGAACTGATGGAGTCCCCAAGACCTACTGGACCTGTGTTGTTCCTGGCTGTCAGGCTCGACTGGTGCTTCATGAACAGACAGTGAAAAACTCTCCGACCCACAACCACGATGAACAAAGAGCAGAGATCTTGGTCCACCGCTCAAAAAAGACGATGAAGGAACGTGCAGCGACATCGGACACATCAACTAAACAGATCGTTGCCGAAGTTATTTCAGGAATGGACTTCGAGTGCAGTTAAATAATTTTATTTTATAAATTAAATTATAAAATAAATCAAGGTCAGTAAAGTAATATTAAATTAGAGAAGGTGGACTGTGGAGTTAAAGAATTAGTAAAGTGGAGTAAAGTAGAATTAAAGAAACGTAGAGTGGAGTGAAAAGTAAAGAAAAGTCGATATAAGATAAACTTTTCACTATATAGTATATAGTCCTGTCACTATAAAGTGCGTTTTGCACGCTATATAGTGACAAATATCAACTGTCATTATAAAGTGCTTGTCACTATATAGTCCTGTCACTATATAGTGCGATTACCCCCCAACGTATGCGTACTGACTTTTGGCCACCGTAGTTTAACTTTAACTCATTTAAGAACGGACCGCCCTTGTGTCATACGCCATCTACACTGCAATCTAATTGTATTCTCCGCTATTGTGTTCATTACCCTCTTGTCTTCCGCCCTCGTGTCCTATGTTCCACATTATCTGGGTTATATGAAATGAAATGAAATAATATGCTTATATCCCGCCCATATGGTTAGCAGCCGGCACAAGTGTCAGCTACTAACCATGTCAGAGCGGCTCTAAAGGGTGAGTGAACAAAACTAGCATGAAAATGAATATGACAATATCGTAAATAATTTAAATTAGTCTAGAATCTTGTCCTCACAACAAATAATACCACTTCTGATATAATAACGTCTATTCAAATCGTCCTTTGCCTTCTGTTTCATTTCCAATACCAGCAGATGGTGTTTGGTTTGCTCCTCAGGAGACCGATCCGGAGAAATGAAAACTGTTTTGTGGTGCTGACTCAGTTTCAGTTTCTTCTATTTTAATAATATCTCGTGGACATTGTTGGTATTTGTGACCGACAGGTCTGGTCTTGTCGGCTGATCTCCTTCAAATCCTGACAGCTTCATAGCGTGGTTTTACTTCGATTTGTTCAAACAGTTCGTCTACTTTATTGGATAGTTTCTCATCATCTGTCTCCATTAAACCAAACACGACCAAATTCCTACTGCGGTCCTCTTTCGATACAGCACTTTGAACTACTTTTTTCAAGCTCTGTTCTGTCACCGAAGTACTAATAATAAGGAAATTAGCAAAGTTTTATTTTTAATAAAATTGATTTGAAAAAATTAATAGTGCGATCAGTGTTATTAATAGTGCGATCAGTGTTATTAATAGTGCGATCAGTGTTATATCACAATGCTGGCAAGCATTACCGTTGCCATTATATTCACAATTCTATTTACCCCCTATACTATTACATCCCCTTTATTGTTTTTCAGGCATTAAGACTCATCGAAAGTTGTTCAGCAGGTATATTTAAGTTCAAAACATTCAAATTCAATGTTAAAGATGACAGGAATAAGAAATGTGGAGGTTTTAAAGAAATTTGCGTTGGGGGCTAATTACTAATAAGCCCCAACGTATGCGTACTGACTTTTGGTCACCGTAGTTTAACTCATTTAAGAACGGACCGCCCTTGTGTCATACGCCATCTACACTGCAATCTAATTGTATTCTCCGCTATTGTGTTCATTACCCTCTTGTCTTCCGCCCTCGTGTCCTATGTTCCACATTATCTGGGTTACCCGTTATGTTAAGATTTTTTGCAGCATATGGAACGGATCAACTGATCTTCAGTAACATGATGATCAATTAAAAGTCTAGACAAGTTTGACGGGTATAAACCTTAATAATAATGTACGTAAGTGAGGGGATGGGCAACTGTTTAAAACAGTTTCAAAATAACAAATATAATGAATATAATGATCTTTATGAATATTACTGTGTTGATTTTTCATTGATTTATTATTTATATATATTTATACTCTTGTCTTTTAACTATGTGCATCTTCGGAGCAACAATATAGACTGTTCAGGCATTTAATATTTATTGAGCAATATTTTTCAAAACTGAACTTAGCTTTCGTTCGATAACTTTATTGACTAATCGTGATTGTCAATAATAATGAAAATTTTTTGTTGAACAATTTAGGTTAATCTCTGAACTGTGGCTCACAATAAACTGGCCGAAGTTCTTTGATTTCTAGATCGTGTGTTAAAATAAGTTAAAATTGGATGTGATACCCATAATGTAATCTGGACACATATGTCCCAACAATTCATCAAAGTTAAATTTAAAGTACAGCTCTGCAATTATACCACAAATTAAACATTTGTAATTATAATATCCACGAGCTACCTTCAATCTTTACAAGTCTATATCCTTCATATAAAACTATTTGTCACAAACTAGTAATTACGATTACAGTGCCAGCTTTAATATATAATATTAGTATTAATTGCTTTGTAACTTCTGTTAAATGTTAAAAACAATTAGATGAGGAATTTAAGATGCGGAATTTAAAATATTAAACGGCATAAAAATGGATACACCATAATTTAATTTAATTCTTTACCATTTTTGCGGTTGTTTTGACAAAGACGATATTATAAATTACCTTTAATTATGTCATTCTAATTTTCCCCAGAATTTCCCCTGCTAAAAGTATAATTACTCACAAGAGCTGTCTTTGCAAGTGTAACATTTTTATACCATTGAAAAATACGTCTGATTTTCTTCATAAATGTTAATGATAAAGTTTAAATTATGTCCAGCTCTATTTTTTAACCAATTGTATACTTCGGCAAATGCTTCCTTCCACGTCGTGGAAGTTCCACGACCATCTCAACGCAACAGGAAGACGGAATATAAATTATCATACGGAGAAGTGGAAATTCCCAGAATTAGGTAAAATCCCTTTATTTATTCTCATTTGCCCCCTTAGCAATGTATCAGATTTTCAAATAGATCGAATGAAACCTTTCCGAGGGATCGCAAATTAAAATTTCACAAGAGTACTAGTAGTGACAAGTGAGTTTAAAATTTGAGACATTACATCAGTCATTTAGCTGCCGTGTTCTCTTTATCATATCAATTCGTCAAAAATTAAATATTTATCTCATTCACTGCCGCGAAAACAGACAACCATTTATTTTTGAGGTAACACTAACAGATACTAAATTGCCGTTTTACGATGATAAGATATATCAGGGTTTATGACTATGAGTATGACTAAGTTTAAATGCCAATAAATTTAGTCAGACAAATTTAGTCTTCAGACATCGAAGGTAACTCGTTAATTGTTTGAGTTGACTCAGTCCAGTCAAGAAGGAAAATCAAACTGTTTGGTGTTCTATTGCCGCCCGGTTGATTTTTGTCATACGTTGTATGACCCGCCGCGCACGAGTGCGCGGCTCCCCCTGTATCGTAAGAACGATAATAGTGAAACGACCGTGGTGAAACGACCGTGGGGGTTACGACGTGATACAAGTTGATTTGTGGTTCTTATCTACCCCGGCACTAAGTTTAAGCTGTTGATCACCTTTATATTAGTAGCTATAGTCACCTCGAAAAAAGAAGGACAGGCACCAATCTCAGAAGACAAAAGAATTATTGAAGAACCGTAAGGAATTTAAGCGTAAAGACCCTAATTCGAACGCTAACAGGTCAGAGTATTCTAGATTGAATAAGCTCTTTAAAAAAAGTAGCAAGGTGGACAATAACAACTGGGCACGTAGAATGGCCAATGACTTGGAAGAAGCTGCGAGAAAAGGTCAGCAACGTGAGGTATGGCAGAAGATCAATGTCATATCTGGAAAGAAGAAGAAGCAGTCAACTGCAGTTAGAGACGTATCTGGCCAGTTGATTGCCGACCCACATGCCCAGAAAGAAAGGTGGAAAGAGCACTTCTCTAGGCTATTGAACCCTCCCCCGCAAGAGGCCAATATTTCGGACCTAGAAAACATCCCTCCGCAACCCAGTTTTGACGACCTTTCCGATTCGGATGAAGCTCCTACAAGAAACGAGATTGTTGATGCCCTCAAAAAACTCAAGAATCACAAAAGTCCAGGAGTGGATGGTATCACCAACGAGCAACTTAAGTATGGACAGGATGGGTTGGTCGATCAACTAGTTGTGTTGTTCAAGAAAGTGTGGGAAGATGAGAAGATTCCTGAGGATTGGTCCAAAGGTGTTATTATCATCGTTGGAAAGAAAGGTGACACCTCTCATTGCGCTAACAACAGACACATTACATTAAGATCCACAGCCTCGAAGCTCCTGCAGATGATACTCCTGCGGAGACTTAGCAATGGCATGGAAAGATTCCTCCGGGAAAATCAAAGTGGTTTTAGACAGAATCGATCATGTATTGACCAGGTTTATTCACTCCGCTGTATTATACACCAATGCATTGAGTATAATATCCCTCTGTATATTAATTTTGTTGATTTCAAAGCAGCTTTTGATTCAATTGACAGGCAGTTCATTTGGAGAAGTATGCAGCACTACGGCTTACCTGACAAGTACATTAGAATTATGAAGGCGTTCTTCACTCACACAGTTAGTGCTGTTAGGGTCAATGGAGAGTAGGGATCGCCCATTTGAAAGTTAGGTAACAAGAAATGCGGCCGCTTTTCTTTTGTGGATGGCCGCTCAATTTCCCGATCCGTGATGGCGTATTTATCATATTACATACAACCTGGGGACGGCCCAGTCTTTACTGTTTATATAAACATGCAAATATGGCGAAGTGACATGGCATGCCGACTGCCGAGCGCCGCCCAGTTAATATAATTCTATATTGAATTTGAAAATCGTGTATACTTCTATGTAACCATATGTTTATTGTTTATGCAACCTGACACGGATCTGTGCAAAATAGTAATACTAACTCAAAATAATAATAATATGCTATTAATTAGTGCCTAGTGGGATACGTACATGATGAAATTAATAATGTACTTGGTTGGTTCAGCGCCGCGCGCCAACAATTATATAATTCAGATTGTCACGCAAAATAACTTTGCGCAGGTAGTCACGTGGGCGATAACAGTGCTCGCAGGCACGTACGGTCGCACACTCGCACGGTCGCAAAGCTACCATATAAAAAAAACCTCGATCGCTAACCCTTGTCCTTGACTCTTTTGTGCCTTCGGCACTTTGAGTCATGGATCGGGAAAAAATTTCGATTTGCCAGCACTGTCTGGCGATCACTCAGATCGTTATACAGCAGATCTACTAAACTATAATTAACGAATTCCATGTTTAGGAACCTTAATGTTTACATTCATTTTTCCAATTTCTACACAAATGCGAGCGAGTACGCTCGTGCGCGGCACAAATTCCGCGCGAAATATGCAACACTTTCTATGATAGTTCACCACAGCGCCAGCCACGAAGTAATAAAACTATCGAATATGGCTTTCCGGCCGTTTCCATGGTTGCTGACCATCCTTGGGGCTTGGTGCAACTGCAATCTTTAATGAAATATGGTTAGTTCGTATAATCAAGGTAGACAATGAAGACAACATTTTGTGGAAGTTATCCGTTGCATTGCAATGAAAAACTTTAAAAATTCTAATATATATTAAATCTTATAACTACACAAATTTAAATTTAAAAACCCACATAAAATTGGGAAAAAAATGTTCTCTCCCTTGTTATTAAAACTGGTACCGAAGCTGCCCAAAATCATTGTCATCACCAAGTTGAAAATAACCATGTTCTAAAGAAAATCTTGATTAGTATTACACCACGGCGAGTGTTGTTAATCATTCCAACTATTTACTACTAATAAGGTAGCTAATCTCATCAATACGGTAGGAATAAACACTCAGGTTAACCTAGAAATACAATAAGACTGTTAAAACGAAAAGGCAACAACAAGGTTATCATTACAATTCTCTTCAAATCCCTGATACCGTGATTTTACCGTGAAATAAACGAGTACACAACAAGAGAATCCAATAAATATATAGCGGAGCACGGATGGATCACAGTATAAAATTTCAATAACTTCAAAGTAGTTGGATATTATAGATATTTCCCTTAACTAGCTGCTTATCTATAAATTGAAACCCCATTTTAACTTAAATATGGTATTTTACAAAACTACTTTACACTTTTCTCTCCTCGTCCTGCAATAACTAACATACCCTCGGCGCTCTGATTTACCCTACCACACACTCTCTTAGAAGCGTCGGTCGTCACTTTGACCAGCCGCTCCACAGATTGCGTGTGGCAAGGTAAATCAGACTTAAACGGACTGCTCAGAAAAGAGAGTACATCTAAACCCTTAGTAAGGGGCGGTTCGGTAACATACACAAAATCTCCCTTAAATGACAAATAAACCCAACGATCATTAACTTTACTCATCTTACATAAATCAGAATACACTTCAGCATCAAAATTAAGTCTAGGTAAGTAATAATTTAACTCCGTACACACTTCATCAACACCCCTTAAGTCTAAGATCAAATCTACGGCCTTTTTCCTTAATACGTAATTCTTATCCCCTAACATTGCTATCAAAATATTATGTGGATGCGCAAAATAACTGTTGACTTGAACACCATTTAAAATAAAATCTCTTTCAGACTTACTCTTAATAACCTTCTTAATAAAACTAATCTCCTGAAATAAATTTACGGAACCATACACAATAGAATCATAGTATTTAATAAACATATGCATCGGAAAGTATATATTTACAACATATTCTGCTAATTTTCTTAATTTACCCATTACATTACCCGGGACTCCGCCAGACATGAATAATCTTAAGATTCTGCTTTGGAATGTTATCCACCTGGCGTGGCAGAGGGGGCCAATTTCTGTTCCTGCGAGCTTAGGTGGTAGTGCCCCTGCGGAAACAAGAATTTAGAAATTTCAATCCTATGAGTCAGTATTTAACAGCAATGGAACCAGAGCAGGCTTAGCAAGAGAGAGTTTTCGGAAGAGCTTGAACAAGCAGCGTATCAATGAATTAATTTAGAAACACTTACCGGTTTGAACAGCTAAAACGTGGCGGTAGAGAACCTTCTGGTCCCAACTCAGTTTCTTGACAACACCATCAGGAAGAGGGGAGAAGGTGTGGGCTCTGAGTGGGACAAACTTCCTCGACGCCATCTGGTGAACCGGTCCAGCAGCAAGCTTCCCGATGGGGCCGGAGAAAGAATTAGGTCCGGTCGTGACTCCATCGAGCGAGGTGAAGAAATGCCGGAAGGGTAGTTCTATCCTGTGTAATGAGCAAACACTTCTCTGCAGTTCCCTCCCCAGCTTCTTTTCCAAGAGGACGACAACTCCCGAATGTCTTCCTGTGTTAGTGCTCGTCCCGTCACAGCCGCAGCACTTAAGTCCACTTATGTCAATTCCGAGCTCCTTACAATGTTCTCCGATGGCTCTGACAGTGTCGACTCCTGAAATGTCAAATTTATCAGATAATTGTGTTAATTGTGTAGACGGACCGATATTACAGAGTTACAGCACAGTATTACCAACCTACTGTTTTTTTAAATCTCGCTGCTTTATGTGCAGCAAGATGAGAAATTACAGTATCTAAAGAGAGAAGTAGAACAGTATTTCTATGAGTCTATGGAAGGGCCACCAATTTTTGTATCATTCGACAGCGTTTGACCAATGAGACGTTAGATACTACCAATCAATATTGGTGTCACAAAATATAATCCTCGCGAGCATGAAAATAATGGAATTAGCTAACTAACCGCTTCCGCTGTCAGGAGTGGCGAAACCAAGATATCGACCGGACGGCTGTTCCACCAAAGTAATGTGTTCTTCTTCTTGGCGCCGGAGAACTTCGTCTGAGTCTTTGAGGAGGGTTCCTCTATCTTTTCTTCCGTCGAAATACAGGGCTTCGACTGCTGTACCCTTTAGGTTATCCAGTAAAGCTCCCCTGGACTTAGCCCGTATGTTCCGGATCTTCTTTTCTGTCACCTGCTCCTGTATCCCGACTACCTCGTTGTATTTGCTGAGAAAACGGGCTGCAGTCCCGTTTGATAACTGTTCTGCGGCTAATCGAGGAGCGAGATTTTCAAGTTTCATTAAGTTGTATCTCCCTTTCTTAGCTGGTGGTGTCCTGAAGGATTAGTTCAACATTAAATTTTGAAATTTACGTTTTTCTCTTTGAAAACATTTGATGCAAAATTGATACAATTTTAGACACGGTTGATGAGATGTCACGGGGATGGAATATTTTATTGAAACTGGAACTTCCAATTTCCAATTTCATCCATCAGTAGAACGTACCTAAAAAGCTAAAATTTAAACCACATCCGGATTTTTCCAAAACCCAGAACTTTTTCAAAAAAGGACGACTTTACCAATGTAAGCAACATCGCAGAAATAGCACTGATGAATGAGGTTTCTTATCAATATTCAAATTACTTGTTTGCTAATAGTCAAGGTTGAAACTTACATTTGAGCGTTCGAACCGGTGAGATTTTCCTGTTGAATGTGTCGCCTCGATTCGAATCCGTTAAAAAATCCAAAAATCTGTAGAATACAAGTTTGTTCGTCGAATTTAGCAAATTTTTGACGAAATTTGAATCCTCTTTTTATCTAATCATTATATTATGATGCCATTACGTAAAATTATTAGTAATACAGGGTCGGCCAAAAGTCACTGTGCAAACGTTGAACTTAAAACCGGAAACTTTCCATCGATACGGATAAAGAAGGAGATTCTTACCTCGGGTCAGGCTCAAAGTCGCTGTCGCTGTTGGTATCACTGTCTGATCCCTCAGTGTCAGAGTCCAGTTGTAGACTCCGTCGTCTTTTTCTCTCTCGTAAATTGCGTGACTGAAATGTATGTGTTATTACCTGAGTCTGGGCAGAAGGTCCAGCAAGGACTTCAAGGACAGGGGAAACAGCAGTTACGGGAGAGAGATTCTGGTCAGCAACAGGTTCAGGGCTCGCAGAACTGTCAACGTTGATCTCTAGAGCGGATTCGACTTCAGTAGTTACTGGTGTAGATGGCTGGGACTGAGCTTCAGGAGAGGAAGAATAGGTAATGAAAATCTTCTTCTCGAGCTCTTCCTTCCGCTTTCTGACAGTTTGAACGCTTAAAGTAGAATGTTTACGAGCTTGTTCTCGAGTTTTCTTCAGTCTCCTGAAATTTTAACATTTATTACCTCCTCTATTAACGTTCAATCAGAAATTATGAGGTTTAAAGTAGAGGCAGAATGAAGTACTAAAGTACAGGTAATACAATTGTTCAAAGAAATGTCACAAAGTATAGATTTCCGTGTTCTAGGTCAGGTTCAGGTCAAATAGCATAAATTTCAGGCAGAGTGAACATGATTTCAGGCAGGCAGCATTGCGGAAATATCAGAGTCGAAAAGTACAATATCTGTAACGGATCTTAAGTGGGACAGAGAATTAGCCAAACTTAAGTGACAGATTGAAATACAGGAGTTCTCAGAAAGGACAGGTTACCCCAAATTTCAGCGACGAAATCAAGTACAAAAGTACAGGTCAGGTAATACAATTGTTCAAAGAAATGTCACAAAGTATAGATTTTCGTGTTCTAGGTCAGGTTCAGGCCAAATAGCACAAATTTCAGGCAGAGTGAACATGATTTCAGGCAGGCAGCATTGCGGAAATATCAGAGTCGAAAAGTACAATATCTGTAACGGATCTTAAGTGGAGCCAAACTTAAGTGACAGATTTACGGAGCCAAACTTAAGTGACAGATTGAAATACAGGAGTTCTCAGAAAGGACAGGTTACCCCAAATTTCAGCGACGAAATCAAGTACAAAAGTACAGGTCAGGTAATACAATTGTTCAAAGAAATGTCACAAAGTATAGATTTTCGTGTTCTAGGTCAGGTTCAGGCCAAATAGCACAAATTTCAGGCAGAGTGAACATGATTTCAGGCAGGCAGCATTGCGGAAATATCAGAGTCGAAAAGTACAATATCTGTAACGGATCTTAAGTGGAGCCAAACTTAAGTGACAGATTAACGGAGCCAAACTTAAGTGACAGATTGAAATACAGGAGTTCTCAGAAAGGACAGGTTACCCCAAATTTCAGCGACAAAATCAAGTACAAAAGTACAGGTCAGGTAATACAATTGTTCAAAGAAATGTCACAAAGTATAGATTTTCGTGTTCTAGGTCAGGTTCAGGCCAAATAGCACAAATTTCAGGCAGAGTGAACATGATTTCAGGCAGGCAGCATTGCGGAAATATCAGAGTCGAAAAGTACAATATCTGTAACGGATCTTAAGTGGAGCCAAACTTAAGTGACAGATTAACGGAGCCAAACTTAAGTGACAGATTGCAATACAGGAGTTCTCAGAAAGGACAGGTTACCCCAAATTTCAGCGACGAAATCAAGTACAAAAGTACAGGTCAGGTAATACAATTGTTCAAAGAAATGTCACAAAGTATAGATTTCCGTGTTCTAGGTCAGGTTCAGGCCAAATAGCACAAATTTCAGGCAGAGTGAACATGATTTCAGGCAGGCAGCATTGCGGAAATATCAGAGTCGAAAAGTACAATATCTGTAACGGATCTTAAGTGGAGCCAAACTTAAGTGACAGATTAACGGAGCCAAACTTAAGTGACAGATTGAAATACAGGAGTTCTCAGAAAGGACAGGTTACCCCAAATTTCAGCGACAAAATCAAGTACAAAAGTACAGGTCAGGTAATACAATTGTTCAAAGAAATGTCACAAAGTATAGATTTTCGTGTTCTAGGTCAGGTTCAGGCCAAATAGCACAAATTTCAGGCAGAGTGAACATGATTTCAGGCAGGCAGCATTGCGGAAATATCAGAGTCGAAAAGTACAATATCTGTAACGGATCTTAAGTGGAGCCAAACTTAAGTGACAGATTAACGGAGCCAAACTTAAGTGACAGATTGCAATACAGGAGTTCTCAGAAAGGACAGGTTACCCCAAATTTCAGCGACGAAATCAAGTACAAAAGTACAGGTCAGGTAATACAATTGTTCAAAGAAATGTCACAAAGTATAGATTTTCGTGTTCTAGGTCAGGTTCAGGCCAAATAGCACAAATTTCAGGCAGAGTGAACATGATTTCAGGCAGGCAGCATTGCGGAAATATCAGAGTCGAAAAGTACAATATCTGTAACGGATCTTAAGTGGAGCCAAACTTAAGTGACAGATTAACGGAGCCAAACTTAAGTGACAGATTGAAATACAGGAGTTCTCAGAAAGGACAGGTTACCCCAAATTTCAGCGACGAAATCAAGTACAAAAGTACAGGTCAGGTAATACAATTGTTCAAAGAAATGTCACAAAGTATAGATTTTCGTGTTCTAGGTCAGGTTCAGGCCAAATAGCACAAATTTCAGGCAGAGTGAACATGATTTCAGGCAGGCGGCATTGCGGAAATATCAGAGTCGAAAAGTACAATATCTGTAACGGATCTTAAGTGGAGCCAAACTTAAGTGACAGATTAACGGAGCCAAACTTAAGTGACAGATTGAAATACAGGAGTTCTCAGAAAGGACAGGTTACCCCAAATTTCAGCGACAAAATCAAGTACAAAAGTACAGGTCAGGTAATACAATTCAAAGAAATGTCACAAAGTATAGATTTTCGTGTTCTATGTCAGGTTCAGGCCAAATAGCACAAATTTCAGGCAGAGTGAACATGATTTCAGGCAGGCAGCATTGCGGAAATATCAGAGTCGAAAAGTACAATATCTGTAACGGATCTTAAGTGGAGCCAAACTTAAGTGACAGATTAACGGAGCCAAACTTAAGTGACAGATTGCAATACAGGAGTTCTCAGAAAGGACAGGTTACCCCAAATTTCAGCGACGAAATCAAGTACAAAAGTACAGGTCAGGTAATACAATTGTTCAAAGAAATGTCACAAAGTATAGATTTCCGTGTTCTAGGTCAGGTTCAGGCCAAATAGCACAAATTTCAGGCAGAGTGAACATGATTTCAGGCAGGCAGCATTGCGGAAATATCAGAGTCGAAAAGTACAATATCTGTAACGGATCTTAAGTGGAGCCAAACTTAAGTGACAGATTAACGGAGCCAAACTTAAGTGACAGATTGAAATACAGGAGTTCTCAGAAAGGACAGGTTACCCCAAATTTCAGCGACAAAATCAAGTACAAAAGTACAGGTCAGGTAATACAATTGTTCAAAGAAATGTCACAAAGTATAGATTTTCGTGTTCTAGGTCAGGTTCAGGCCAAATAGCACAAATTTCAGGTAGAGTGAACATGATTTCAGGCAGGCAGCATTGCGGAAATATCAGAGTCGAAAAGTACAATATCTGTAACGGATCTTAAGTGGAGCCAAACTTAAGTGACAGATTAACGGAGCCAAACTTAAGTGACAGATTGCAATACAGGAGTTCTCAGAAAGGACAGGTTACCCCAAATTTCAGCGACGAAATCAAGTACAAAAGTACAGGTCAGGTAATACAATTGTTCAAAGAAATGTCACAAAGTATAGATTTCCGTGTTCTAGGTCAGGTTCAGGCCAAATAGCACAAATTTCAGGCAGAGTGAACATGATTTCAGGCAGGCAGCATTGCGGAAATATCAGAGTCGAAAAGTACAATATCTGTAACGGATCTTAAGTGGAGCCAAACTTAAGTGACAGATTAACGGAGCCAAACTTAAGTGACAGATTGAAATACAGGAGTTCTCAGAAAGGACAGGTTACCCCAAATTTCAGCGACAAAATCAAGTACAAAAGTACAGGTCAGGTAATACAATTGTTCAAAGAAATGTCACAAAGTATAGATTTTCGTGTTCTAGGTCAGGTTCAGGCCAAATAGCACAAATTTCAGGCAGAGTGAACATGATTTCAGGCAGGCAGCATTGCGGAAATATCAGAGTCGAAAAGTACAATATCTGTAACGGATCTTAAGTGGAGCCAAACTTAAGTGACAGATTAACGGAGCCAAACTTAAGTGACAGATTGCAATACAGGAGTTCTCAGAAAGGACAGGTTACCCCAAATTTCAGCGACGAAATCAAGTACAAAAGTACAGGTCAGGTAATACAATTGTTCAAAGAAATGTCACAAAGTATAGATTTCCGTGTTCTAGGTCAGGTTCAGGCCAAATAGCACAAATTTCAGGCAGAGTGAACATGATTTCAGGCAGGCAGCATTGCGGAAATATCAGAGTCGAAAAGTACAATATCTGTAACGGATCTTAAGTGGAGCCAAACTTAAGTGACAGATTAACGGAGCCAAACTTAAGTGACAGATTGAAATACAGGAGTTCTCAGAAAGGACAGGTTACCGCAAATTTCAGCGAATTTCTAAAATACAGTACAATATGCGTAAAACTAACAAAAAACTAACCCGACAAGGGATTTGTGGGAGTCGGAGCAGCAGTAGGTGTCCAAGAGAGTCTGAGCCACCTGGTGAAGTAGAGGAGTTCCAGTTAGAGTAGAAGTGGCACAGAAGGACAGGTATCTCAAGACATCCCCGGAAGTCGGAAGTGCAGCAGGATCAGGTAAAGGAGCCTTCCCTCCGATGAAGGTCAGGTAATGTCCGAGAGGCATACGATCAGGAGTAAGTTTAGAATAGGTTGTAGTTGAGAGAAGTGATAAATACTTAATAAATTGTAATGGAATGGTCTTCTCTTTTATACCACCACGGCCCTATCAGGGCTGATAGTCCAGCTTGTCGAACGTGACCCAATCAGTGCTGATCACCGTTCGGTTTCTCCTTGCTTCCTTGTTGAACGTGACCCAATCAGCAAAAACCTTTCTACAAGTCGTCGTCACCTAACGAGTGCCGATCACTGTTCTGGTTCTCCTTGCTTTCTTGTTGAACGTCACCCAATCATTTGGCACGGGTTAGTCACGTGATCTCATTAAACATCTTGTTGCACGAGATCATTATCAGGACTTAAATGTCACCTCACCCACAACGATAACTTTCAATCCAATCTACTTTATGTACCTTTCTTATTTACATCAGAAAACCAGCAGTTGGTTAAGTTTCGATATAACAAGATTAAATTACCAACTTAGTGCTGATCCAAATGTTTGGACTAGTTTTGAAATGGGCAGCAAACTCCACGTTTCAGAACATCAATGCATGGAACTGAGATTTGCAGTGTTCGTTGAAAGCAACAAGCTAAAGCGCCCACGTGTTCCCTGTAGTGAAAACTTTATCCAACGCGAAATACATATTTTGGCGCTAGGCGAGCTGGTAAACTTAATTTTCAGTGCGCGGCGTGCTGTCCACGGTTGCTGAGTGATGCATGGGTGGCCAAAATTAATGAGATGACCGATATTTTCTCAAAAAACTTTGCTGTTAAATCTAATTTATCATTATTTGAGGTCTAATTTGGATAATGCATAGAAAAACTGTAATAATTTCAATACTGCTGCTTGACCCAGCTTATATGTTTGGCTCCGCGCGATCGTCTCAAATTACGCGATTATAATGCGATAAAGTGAGCTTAGTTATCAGAACTTCAACATGCCTAAACATTGGCCAATCTTGAAAACTTTGGTATCCCCGTATAGGGAAAATTGTTGGCTACAAGATCTGACAGTTGGCATATTGATTTAGGCATTTAAAATCGATGGGCGACCCCTAATGGAGAGGTTACAGGTTGGTTTGATGTCAACTCGGGTACTGGGCAAGGTGATATACAGGGACCACCAGTCTTCAACTTTTGTTTGAGTTTTTCGGCATACCTTATGGAACTGAACAAGGTCATTAGTAAAGGGGCTTTATTACAGCTGCCAGCCCCCGGGGTAGAAGAGAAACATCTTTTGGACACTGATTACGCTGATGACATGGCTATGTTAGATAACTCAAAAGAGGGGCTGCAGGAAACCACTGACCTTCTCTGCAAATACAGTGCCTATGCGGGTCTGAAGATTAATGCTGGCAAGACACAGAGCATGGTTGTCAGCAAAAGTGCATCGCAGAGGCCGTATTCTAAAGACGACACTATGGACATCAATGTGGAAGGTCTCCCAATACAGCAGGTCAGCAATTTCACTTACTTGGGTGCAATCATCAGTGCGAATGGAACAATTGACAAAGAACTTTCAGCTCGAATTCAAAAGGCCTCTGGGGCATTCTATCAGCTCAGCAGTATATGGTACAGTCGCAACATCAAGACTCCAACTAAAATCAGGATTTACAAAGCGGCTGTGCTCACTATACTGCTTTATGGAAGTGAGGTATGGAATACCACACAGACGCAGATGAAAAGATTTGAGGTGTTCCATCATAGATGTCTAAGGAGAATCCTGAAAATAAAATGGTTTTATCATGTATCTAATGCTGATGTACTTAAGCGGGCTAACATCGCCCCTGTTGATACTTTCGTACGAGCAGCTAGACTCCGATGGTTTGGCCATGTGGTGAGGATGCCAGAAGAAAGAATACCCAACTATCTTCTGCACTGGATCCCAAAGCATGGTAAAAGGTCAAGAGGTAGACCTCGGAAAAACTGGTTGTCATGTGTCCGGGAGGATGCAGCAATCTTCACAGGTGTCGATAACATCACGATAGAAGATGCAGAACAACAAGCTACAGACAGGGTTCACTGGAGAGGTTTAATACACCGGAGAAAGGAGTTACTTTGTGGTGCAGGCCACTCCAACGACTAGGAGGAGACCTTTTCAAGTACAAGTAAGTAAGTAAGTATAGTCAGCTTATCTAAGGATCTCATCTACTGACTTGCCTCTAAGTTTAACATTTAAGTTCACAAGGCCCCCTTCATAAAATATGGGCAACTGTTTGAGCGGTACCACTACGGGTGTTTATATACCTGTAGGTAAATTTGACGACTTCACGTGGTGCCGTAATACTAATGTAACATGGCTAAGGCTTTGAGCTTTAACCAATCATCTATCACATTACCTGGGCACTCATTAAAATGGTCGTTAGAAGCCCGACTAGTATTAATGACATTAACGCTCGAGACAGTGCAGCTGGATGAATGGCTGCACCACGCTAACACGTGGATCAACTTGAGACCAACGAACAAAATTGATTTATTATTGGGAATAGATCAAAATTGAAAACTCTCTAAGACATGTCAAAAACGGAGCATTTTGGGTATTTTACCTGTACTACTACTTGTAGGTTTTACAATAAATAGTTTTTATTGTTAGTGACGTATATTTTTATAAGTAAGCTTTCTTAATCATAAATCAATAATTTTTTATAATTGAAGCTAGGCTAAATTTCATTCTAGACGTTAAAAAGCTATAACCTAATGTGCAAGAAATGGGCACCATGGGGATATCTTCAATCTTCATGGGCTTTTTTTGTTGATCGGCTGCTATGTCAAAATTAAGTTTGACTAAAATTAAAACTTTCATGTATTTCGCAACAAATAAATCGCCTCAGTTTATCATTTTATATTTTCGTTGCACCAAGCAAAGTAGGTAGCCGTTTTTTATCACGATCGAGATATTTTTATATTTTTGAAGGTGGAATAAGATGCGGTTTTTTAAAATCGTTTAATTTTGATATGATTTCGATTTCAAACATATCGAGGGTCCACAATTTTACACTAGTTGTTATTTGATGATGCTGACGACCATGACGACACATGGTCAAGCAATAATCGCATTAAATTACTTCTGACAACACAGAATATGAACTGTCATATTGACTTTGAAGGGTCGGTTGACTCTTGGTCGTTAAAATAACATGAAATGATGGAACTTAAACTTAAATTAATTTCATTGATTTGCCACGTCTGCCAACGCAGGCTATAATTTTAAGTAGCGATCAGAAAGGTGAATTCTCTACGCGAAATTCATTTTGTGCGACATTGCAAAATTACACTTTGACCATGGGGTCAATATTTCTCACAAAGTTATAAGCCTTAGTAGATTGAGTAGATTTCAACCGTATTTGGTAAATTAACTTGTATGATCCGTCACCCTACGACTCCTACCTTACGACTCTGGCACCCTTCAGGGTAACTATCAAATAACTTTCAAATATTTTCTTGTTAATCTTCTCTTGATCTAGCGGGCGTGCTCGCTAAAGTAACATGAAATGATAAGGATGACCCTTCCCTCATTATAATAAGTTTGATTTTCTGGTTGCCTATTATACTGATAGGTTTATAACCTACCAAGACTGAAGACGCGTGCCGAGTTGGACTCGTCGACGGTCCTAATATTTGAAACAAATATTTTACGAGTATCACCCGTTAACCTGAGCCATATTGCATATCTTTTCCCGGTCTTTTAGCGTAGCCATACTCTATTAATCAATTTCTTATCTCGAATCTCAATTCTAGTCACTCTCGGAGCTTAAGTTTTTTTCGTGGAATTTAGAAAGATCAAAGCTTAGAGTGAGAGTTATAATATGATCGATGTTCAATGACCATGTTGTGCGATTGATTAATCTTGATTGGACTTTATCTTCTTGGGTTTTTGGGGCTTTTTTAAAACAGTCAAAAATAAATCCCTTATTTGAAAAATGGAACCTATAAAAATTAACGTAATTTTACGGAATTATGGTTTATTAAGTTTAAACTTTCAGATTCAAAATTTCACAGCAAAATAACATTTTTTTTAGAGACAAAGCCGTACTTGTTTTTTAAACTTTAAAATTCGAGAAATGATTTAAACATTGTGTTAAATTATAAACCGCTTAAATTTTTAAATCGCTTGAATTCATACACTGAATGACATTTTAACACTGTTATAATAACATAAACCCGCCACGCAAAGGGTTTATATAACAGATCATCCCGCGCTAGCGGGATGATCTGATAAACATATACGAGTGCGCGCAGCGCACGAGTTTTGTGTTAATATGTAATCCCGAAGCGCCAGCTGAGGGATTACATTTATTTAGCCCTGAGCGTGAAGTGTTTATGGATTATAATCATCTCCGGCGATTTCGACAAGGGATTTATACTTTAGATTGGAAAGCAGTTCATCAATCTGAATGTCAAACCGATCTGTCATAGTGGAGCAATAGCTTGAACGTTAGCAGGAACAAGAGCTGGAAGGAGAGCAAGCAAAACAATACTATTTTTAGGGCACGGACAAGGGTAGCTGGCTAGTCGCCAATGCAACTTCTCACGCCACGCGTTGGAGAAATTCCAAGAATTAGCTGCTTTGGCAACGTTCCCAGGAATTTGCGTGTAAAAGAAGTGGACGGTTACGATGTTTCATATCACGTGGTGCGCTTTCGTGTCACGTGGTATAGACTCGGCGTATGCTATTGGTGGCACGTGGTACGCACGTGACGCGCCCACGTGATCGCGCGTCTAACTGTTCTACTATTATCGAGTTCTAATCAGCAGTATCATTGATTATTGTAAGTCGGAGAATTGAATGATAAACATCAGTTACGACTAAAAAGCGGGCCGGGTTTATACAAATTTCCGGGGCGGGATGATATCACCTTGAGATGTTTATCTAACAGCGGGCCGGGCTGAGTGATAATATGATCCCGCGTCGAAATCCCGGAGATATTTATACTATAATAACCTCATCACTATTCACTAAACACCTTACGTACTGCTGAGTTATTAAAGTGTTATCACTATGGTGACAACATCTACAATTAGTTGGACATTTAAGTATATGGTTATCGTAGTTGAGCCTACCCGATGGTGCTCCACCGTAGTTAGTACACCTTGGACTCGAGATTGTACTATTAAATATCAATTAGTTATTCTGTCGTTAGTAACTCTGATCCTATAATTATAGTTGTAAACTAAATATTATTATAGTCCTTATTTTACGTGATCTTCAATTTCTTAGAACCCACCTGCCGATATAATTAGTATTACAATCCCTCGTACGCTATGGTCAAGTTATAAGATAGTCTTGATGTTAGACAGTTTTATTTGTTATCAAGTTTGTTGGATATATAGTAAGCCAGATGACCAGGTGTTTATTTACTTGTTGAGCGATTTTTGTACGTCATTTTGTAACAGATAGTAAGATGTATACAACTACAATTAAGAAGAAACGTATTAGTAGTAATTAAGTGTTAACTGATTTAGTGATTATATCACATCGTTGTCTTTAGCAGGGTCGTAGACAACTATAATATTTCAGTCGGGTAACATTTTGGT